GGACAGTTTTCAGCTAACACACAAACCAATCCAAAGGAGCAGTGCAATTCAATAACTGCAAGGAGTGGAAAAGTTGTGGGTAAGGGGATTGGTGACAATATAGTTGTTGAAGAAGAAGTTTTGGTAAAAGAAGATGAAGAGCAAGAAGAGGAGAATAATAAAGAAAGACATATCCCTAATAAGAAGAATGAAGAGGTAGAGAAAAAACAAAAGATAGAAAAAGGAGGGAGTCAAAAACCATTTGTAGAGAAGTTACCATATCCCAACGTTCCCTCACAGATAGATAAAGAAAGACAATTCACTAGGTTTATGGATATTTTCAAGCAATTGCAAATTAATATATCATTTGTGGAAGCTATGGAGCAAATGCCAACATACGCCAAATTCATGAAAGAGCTCTTAACTAAGAAAAGAAGATTTACTAATGAAACAGTAGAGTTAGAGGCAGGATGCAGTGCTATATTCCAAAAATCATTGCCTCAAAAGTCCAAGGACCCTGGAAGTTTCACTATACCAGTCACAATTGGTGAATTACCAGTGAAAAAATCATTACTTGATTTAGGGCCAGTATAAACCTCATGCCATTATCTATGCTCAAAAGAATAGGAAACTTGGAAGTAAAGTCTACAAGAATGACATTACAGCTAGCTGACAGATCTGTAAAGATTCCTTATGGAGTAGCAGAAGATGTTTTAGTTAGAGTGGATAACTTCATATTTCCTGTTGATTTTGTGATTATGGACATGGAGGAAAATGAGGAAGTCCCATTGATCCTGGGAAGGCCATTTATGAAGACTGCCAAAGTAATTATAGATGTTGACATGGGCAAGTTGAAAATTAGAAGTGGAGATGATGAAGTGAATTTTAATTTGTTTGAAGTTGTACAACAACCGGAAGACAAGAAAGATTGTCTCAGAATAGACACTTTGGAGGAATTAACCATCTCAACTGAAAAACAAGATTACAAGTCTGTTGCACAACCCCAAAGACATCTTAGTCTGACTATGAAAGAAGTTGTTCAAATAAAGGTACTGAAACCTCCTGAAGCAGGTATGATTTATCCAATCTCTGACAGTTGTAAGGTTATTCGCAATGAAAAGAATAAAATCGTTCCCACAAGGACAGTTAAGGGATGGAGAATGCGTATATATCACCTTGATCACTCACCTGCATGAGCCCTAAAGCAAATAGGCGTCGAGCTAAAGACGTTAAACAAGCGCTCCTGGAAGGTAACCCAATGTTTTGAATTTTTTTTTTTCCTTTTTGCAGTTTAAGTTTTTTTGTGCATTTTTCTTCCTTAGGTTCTTTCTTTGCAAGATTGCTCCAGGTACACAGTGCACTTCTCCTCAAGACTTTGAAGCCTTACTTCAATGGCCTGGGGACAGTCCAACTTTTCTGGAAGAGGTGAGAAAGTCTGCAGCTGAGGCTGAGGCACAAGATAAGGAGTACATGACAAGTAAAGAAAATGAGGGAGGAAACTTACTTTGCTTTTAATGTTTTTAATTCATTTGTTTTTAATTTAATGTTTTTAATTGCTTTATTTTAAATTTTGAATTCCCTTGTTGTCCCATAATTTGTTTTAGAACCATATATGAGATTATTGCTTATTGTCTAATTCAAATCTAGAACGTGAAAAATAACTTTGATTGTTTCCAATAACAAGTGATTTTGGGATATTGAGTATGATAGTGAAAAGGAATTGATGAGGAAAATTAGGAATTAACTGAATTGGAGAAGCTAGCCAAAAACCCAAGTGAGCAGAGTACCACAAACAGATAAATTGAGTGTCAACATTTTGTGATGATAACTGATATTGGTTGATTCTTTGATGTGATTACATGTTGGCAAGACTTGAAAATGATAAAGGCAATTTTTTCTTTGTAGTAGATATAACCCAAAGCCAAATAGTCAACCCTGCATTAATTATAGGACATCCATTTGAATCCCGTCTGAGCCAAAAATAATATTGTTTCTTAAACAGAACCCTTAAGCCTAAACACTATTTATCTATCTTCCTATATTTGAGAAATGAAATGAGTATGAATGTCACTATTTTTCTTATTGTTGGGTATTGTTATTGTTGTTCTACAGGTATTGTTGGGGTGTTATTGTTAAAAAAAAAGTGTAAAGAAAAAGGAAAAGCAAAGCTTAAAAATTTGCAAAGTAAAAAAAAAAAAAAGGATACATGCAAAAGCAAAAAAAAAAAAAAAAGTCAAAAGGGAGGTAATAACTTGTGAGATTATTAACTCATTGTCATTGTGTTATGGACAAAAACATGAAGTTTGAAACCTGACTTGAGGAATTGTTAATCAAGAATCATTCATATGAGTTGAATTTCTCAAATATTTTTGTATATCCCAGAAAAACCAATAATTCTTTCTTAGTCCAGCCCCATTACAAGCCTCAAAAGACCTTTTGATTTAAGTCTTGTTTAACAATTGTTGATTACTTGAAGATGATTATCAATATTGGATTGTCTAAATGAAGTGATTGAATGAGATAAACACTTACTTGTGAGAATTAGAGATGAGTATATATAACTCTATTTGAGAGATCATGCTTCTCTGAGGATAGTTGAGCACTAATTATTCTTTGTTGGTTTTTATAACTTGAATGCTTCTGTGTTCTATTTTCATTTGGAGTTGCGAGCATCACCCTTGAAAATTTTTATGTTGTGGTTCTAGAAGAGAAATAGATAATAGGTGATGATTTTGTTTTGGAAAAAATGCTTTGCTTGGGACAAGCAAGATTCTAGGTTAGGGGGAGTTGTTAAGTGGTAAAAAGTTGATATAATTATGCCTTAAATTGTTATAAAACCACTTAACTTATGTTAATTCTAATATATTTTTCTTCTAATATAGGATGAATTTGAGAATACCTTGATACAAGAGTAAGGAGAATAATTGTCAGCATAATTGGAGTAAAATTGAAAGAAAGAAGAGCGCTTAAGCGAATGAATGATGCAAGGCCCGACCCAAATTCTCTTATAAAAAGATAAGTTGTGTTTTGAAATTTGTATACTATACTAATAGTATAATATTCTATATTATAATATTATTTGTATACAAAACTAATATCTTTATATCTTTATATATAAATATATAAATATATAAATATATAAATATGGAAAGATATAAATATATGTAAAAATATAAAGATATAAATATATAAAGATATAAATATATATAAAAATATAAAGATATAAATATATCAATATATAAATATATCAATATTTAAATATATCAATGTATTAATATTTAAATATATATTAAAATATATAAATATATTTTTATTTATAGATTTTATATTTATATATTTATACGGATATACATTTATTTGTATATAAATATAATTTATTTGTAAGTTATTATTAAAAAATCCTAGTAGCTCGAGTGGTTGGAGTTTCGACCTCCAACTCTAAGGTACCGGGTTTGAATTCGACAATGACAATAAACCTAATAATAAGTTAAACTTCTAAAAAATATAATATAATTAAGAGTTAGGGAATTAAATATAAATAAAAACTTAAATAAGCAAAAATATAATATAAAAAGAGGTAGGGGAAATAAATAATAAATATAAATAAAAATAATTAATTTTGTTATTGATTTAGCGACCGATTTAAATCGATCGCTATTTTTTTAACTTTGTCATTGATTTAGCGACCGATTTAAATCGATCGCTATTTTTTTAACTTTTTCATTGATTTAGCGACTCGATTTAAATCTGTCGCTATTTTTTTAATTTTGTCACCAATTTAGCGACCAATTTGATATATTAATTTCGATCGCTATTTTGCGACCAGAAATGAAAATCGGTCGCTTGTTAGCGACTTGACTTTTTGCGACGACGTCTTTCGGTCGCTAATTTCGGTCGCTAATTTCGGTCGCTAACTGATTAGCGACCGATTTTTTCGATCGCTAAAATGCTTTTTTCTTGTAGTGAATGCACCAATTGTTGGATCCAAGACATAACCATTGCTTGCAACAATTCCAATATTCATGAAGAGGACTAGTTGATGGTGATTCAAAAACAAGAACAAGATTAGAGTTTTCATTGGAAGGAAGAAAAAAGAGATTTGAGATATTAATGTGAAAGTCAATATAAGATTCGAATGCTATAGGAATGAAAGAAGAAATAAAAAAATAACATCTGATATCGTCTTACTTTTCATATACATACAATGGAATTCATCTATTTTTATTAAGAATTCCTCACATTAAAAAAAAAGCATAAGGGTATATATAACCCGTAGAACATAAAGGAAAGAATCTATTCTAACTAAAAATAATACAAAAGAAAAAATATGTTATAAAAAATATTATGCTAATAGATTATGTTATTATTTGATAATAAAAGATTATAGATCCAGTTATTTATCTTTATATTAAAAGTATGTATAACCTTATTTTATAGTTTGTAAAAAATTAATATATTAATACAATAAGCAAAAATAATCTATTGGGATTACTATATTGGATGTGATCCGTGTCTTATACTTTTAAATATTTATGTTTCCACCTGTTAACATTAAATTGTTTTGTTTATACATTTTCCTAGTTGTTGAAACTGACAGCATGAATCAATTCTTTTTCCAAACCTTCAAATTTCATTCTCTATACACTATAGTATTGAGAAATTTTTCATAAATGACTTTGATTCTTCGTCATACAGATAATATATTTATTGATTGCTAAACGCAGATCCATCCATCACTATTATTATAATCATGTATACTACAGTGAAAATAATGAGTTGTCATGTATATATATTAAATCGATCCCTGCACATAGTTGACTTGGGATAAATAATAGGGATTGAAGTTAACGTGACGATGCATGATAAGTTGGGTATGGCTGGCTTTCACATTGTGATTTAGAAAGTTTCAAATGATAGATCAGTTGTTGAGGAACATTGCAGTGTATAAAACTTAAAAACACCAAAGAAAAACTAAGCAGGGAATTCCCATTGACAAGGCAAAAGGAGGAAAGAGGATTAACATGAGTGTCTCAAACGCCTCTTCTATCCCTCCCAGACCACCCAGAAGGGCAAACATAGGTTTCGAAACCATTGTTAATAAAAAACTGGCGTCTAATCAACGGAAGAAAAAGGCAGAGAAGAACCCAGGTGTTGGCGGTTCATTAAAACTCCTCATCCAATCAATCTTTCTATCACTTGTTTGGTTATGGAGGATGACCATCCGAATTCTTAATGTCTGGAAGATCCGAATTTATAGCAAGATTTTTCTTCCCAAGACCCGCGTTGGTGTCGATACAACTGGTAATGAAAAGCTGCAACGCTCTAGAAGGGATGGTAAACTCAGAAAGAAAAAGTAGTTTTCCCCTTCAAAGAGACCACTTGCTCAAACTTCTCTCATTGTTATTAGCCAAATTTAATTGGTAATTCAAGTTGAAAGGGCATGTTCTGATTTGATTCTACTTTGTTTAATTTGTTTTCACCTCATTATTATGATTATAATTGACAAGTTCATACAAGTTAGAAATCAATTTCATTTTGCAGGATAATTTGAATTTTTAAAGATGATATGCAGAAAATTCTATGGAAAATAAAATGTATTGAATGTGGTTGTCTTGTTATTCAAATTGTTTAACTTTTCAATCATTTTGTTTGAGTAAAATAATTTAAATTTATTAAGTTTGAGTTTTTTTTTCTTAATTAGATCAAATATTTCAATTATCATCTATATAACTTTATGTTAATATTATAAATTATTATAATTCAAAAGTATTAGTTGATGGTTAACATTTATAAAAATTTAATCAACTTCAAGAACAATAATAACATTTATAAAATAATGCAATCTCAATATTATAAAAAAATTGTGATTTACGTAGAACGAGAAAAACCTTGTTAACATTTTTCATTAGACGCTAACAAAAAATTAAGCCTAGTTGATGTCTAAGACAAAGTTGCTGACAGAAAAATATCACTGATATTGATACAAAATTATTATTAATGTTGCCTAAAAAATAACACTATTATACATGAGCAAAACAAGAAAATTAATTATATTAGTGAAAAAATAACCATAATTAACTTCACCGTGAAAAAAAAACCTAACATTAGTTGAAGAATGATTTTTGTTTGCTGGGGAATTTCTAAATTCTGTGGTTTAGGGTTTAGAGTATATAAACGGAAAGAAACTTTGGAGAAGGAAACTGAAAACAAAGAGAAAAGGCTAGAAACTCCATTGAAGGCTGGAAAGCAAGCTTTCGAAGTTCTTCCCTCATCCAGCGAGCGTTCTTTTGTAATTGGTTGGTTATTTTAACATGAGTAGCTAAGTTTCTCGTTGTCGAGATCATAAGTAATCAAACGTGGCTTATGTATTGTTCTTGATACGTAAAGTTAGTGGATGACTGCGTAGAGATGGAAAATGAATTCATTTCTAATTCTTGATTTGTTTTCACGAGGCAATATACCACTAATGATCGGCTTTTTTATACTCCTTTTGTCTGTTCTCAAATGGTATAATCGCTTGGTCTTATTCTCATTCTCTTGTCCACAACATTTCTCGGCAAATGATCAATATGACACTAATTCATACACAAACATTACATTCAAACATCAGATTCTTACTAGTTTTGAATTAGTGTTGTAACGTAACCACTCCCATCTCCTTTGTTAACTTCAAGTCGGCAATCGACCTGCTTATTAGATTTTTTTTTTTTAAATTTAATGTTTTTCTATCACAATAGTATTATGATCTTTCATAATGATCTCGCTACCTTTATTATCCGAGGAACCATCAACAAGTAATGTCTATTATTTGTATCTTTCTAATTCTAAAAGGAAGTTGGTTAGGAAATGAGTCTCATTGTACCTCAATTTCTAATAACTCGACTGTCAATGTTATCGTTTTCTCTGTTAATTTGGATTTTTGTAATATTTGTCTTATGGAGCGGTCAATTTTTATAATTATGGGGAAACTTTAAAAATAATGTCTTAGCTTTCAAGCCAAATTTAATAGGGCTAGAATAAGTTTTTCCAATGTGAAATATCTTGTTTCTTATGATTGTAGAATTTGGCTTGTAAATTACACCAAATTTTGTTGGTTGCCTGTCTCACAAACTAAGACCGAATTTATACTCTTTTGCGAAGCAGCCAAATACATAAGGAGAGTGCTTCCGGATTGTGAATAGTTTTGCCTTCTTGACCAATTTGGAAATAAATCAAGTTAAAGAAACTAGTTTATCATTTAAAATTTATACCTCTTTCACATTTTAAGAATTTTGCATAGTAAATACGGTCTCACACTTGTTAGGATTTGCCTCGTTCCTTCTTTGTGTAATCATGAAACCTATGAACTTTCCATCATTAACCCCAAATACACACTTTTCTAGGTTAAATCTCATGTTATGTTTTTTACCTCGGCAAAAACTTTTTCAGGTGATTGATATGATCTCAAGTATTTTTAGATTTAACAACAATTTCATCTACATATACTTCAATTATATCACCTATTAGGTATTTGAACACTTTATCCATTAATTTTTTTTACGTGGCTCCAACATTCTTTAAGTAAAAAAACATTACTTTATAGCAAAAAAAGTCCTTTCAATCACAAAGGCTACTTTTCCTCATAGGAGAAATATGTGTATTTGATTATACTTACGTATATAGGAAGTTAAGTACTTCATAGTTAGAGGTATTATCCACTAGTCAGTCAATGTTCGGTAGGGGATAAGAATCTTTTATACAAACTTTGTTTAAGTTGGTGTAGTCGATACACATGCGTTATTTATCATTTTATTTTTTTACTAATATTACATTTGTCAACCAAGTGGTATAAGTTAATTTTATGAAATATGCTTTAAACAATTTTTTTACTTCCTATTTTACAATCTTACATTTTTGTTCTCCTAATTTACATTTTCTTTATGTTATGAGTTTAGCTCCATCCAAGATGAAAAGTTTATGACACACAAAATTGGGATCAATACTTGGTATGTTGGTTGCATTCCAGGCAAACAAATCGACATTTATGTTGAGCATGTTTTCACCTAAGAAAATTGGCTCTTGTCCATGACATTCCCCACGCGAGTGATTTGATTGAGTTCTCCTCCTAGCTGGAACTCGGTCAAAGGTTCCTCTTCTTGGTGAGAATCCACATCGAATTCTTTGACATTATTCTGGCTATGTAAATTAAATTTATTAGTCTTCCTACTCAGCGAGTATGACCGAATTTTCAAACTTAGAATGTAGCACTCTTTGGCCTCGTTGGAGGTCTACTTTGATTATAGTAATATACCCTCCTTCCGTATGGAATTTTAAAGCTAAATGTGGGGTCAACACAATGTATCCAAGTTGATTGAGGGTTCTCTTTCCTATCAAAATACTGTAGTATATGACTGCTTTTATTAATATATACATCTCACTGATACACTCTTGCTTTCTTCCTCGACACAAAAAGTTATCAACATATTAATAAAACCACGAGTATGAACTCGCTCACCAGCAAAACTAATTAGAGGATTAGGGTATGGTTGAATCAGATTATGGAAAATGTGTTGGAAAATTAATAATAATAATAATAATAATAATCCTGATTTTGATTCTAACGATCAAACATAAACATAATCTCATACTGATAAACATGCTGTAAACTGAATGCGAAAGCGTACCTGAATTAGCCATAACGATGATGTCTTTGTAGAGCACTATATTGATCTTATGATCTTCCACCTGAAGAACATATGTATCTCCCTCTTGATTTTCTCTCTTGATGGGGATAGAAAGAAAGGAACGAGACTGATACTTACGTTCTGTGTGTGTGCTCCCAGAAGGGGACCACGACCCCTTAAAATAACCAGAATTAGGTTAATTACTTAAGTTTTAGTATTTCCAATTTGGTCCCTCATCAAATTAGAAATTGTTCAATGGTCTCTACACAATTTTATTTTCATGACATATGTTGAATTATTGGCAAGCGTACCAAAATTATCAATCGCAGTATAGTATTTCGATTAAATAAAAGTCGATCCCACGAGGAACAGTTTCAATGAAAATTCCCAATTATGCTTACTATGTATATTAAACAGATTGGGTTTTGCAAATAAGAGTTGAGTTGAATTTAAATGACAAAGAACTGTAAATTGTTGAGAAAATATCAATTAAAGGTACTTAGGATTGACTTCCTTCCTTATCCCTCTTTTGTAATGGCTAAATCAATTAAGAACGTCAATTAACCTAACAATGTTGATGCCACCTACTCAAATCATCCATGTTGATTTCTCACACATGAAATTCATAAGAAAACCTAATAAATGTTGATTCCTCACACAATTAAGAGATTTTTCAGCATTAGGGTTAGGGTGTTTAAGCACTTGATACATTCATTCCATTCCTGGCAATTAACGTAACAAATATTCTTACCGTGATCCAGGGTTCAAGATATATTTTCCAATCATACCACAAACAATCAAGAATAAATCATTCCAAAGCATAAAGGATAAGAATAATAACATCAAAGCATAGATTAATATAACAAAATATCACCATAATACAAAAGAGTTCAAAGGAAGTGCACCGAATCCTAAGAGAATGAAGTTAGCCACTCATGTTGGCCATTACAATGCTCCAATTGATGAAGAAGTGAAGAATTGATGAAGATTGGACAAAACCCTAACAGTAGTCGTGTCTCCTCTCCTCCAAGACTGCTTTATTAGTATAGTATAGTATACAAATTATTAGTTTTGTAATTTATACACTATAAAAATAAATTACAAATATTATAACATAATGGTATATTAATATAATATAATATATTTGTATTCTAATTTTTAATTAAACTAAAATTATGCTAATAATGTATAATAATATATGAGGGAATAATATTGATATATTGATATATATATATATATATATATATATATATATATATATATATATATTCATTTATATATTTATTTATATCCTTATACATTTATATCTTTATATATTTATAAAAAAAATAAAAATTTAAATATTAAATTTTAAAAATAATATTATATTTTTAAAAATAAATATTAGCAAAATATTTAAAAATATATATAAATTATATTTACATGTACAAAATATTAAAGATATATATTTATATCTTTACATATTTATATCTTTATATCTTTATATTTTATATCTTTATATCTTTACATATATTTATATCTTTATAAATTTACATCTTTATATATATATATATATATATATATATATATATATATATATATATATATTATATCTTTATATATTTATAAAATTTATAAATATAAATATATTTATATATTTTAATATATATTTAAATATTGATATATTTACATATTTATATATTTATATATTTATATATTTATACATTTATATATTTACATATTTATATATTTATCTATTTATATATTTATATATTTATATATTTATATATTAATATATTAATATATTAATATATTTATATATTTATATATTTATATATTTATATATTTATTTATATCTTTATATATTTATATATTTATATCTTTATATCTTTATATATTTATATCTTTATATATTTATAAAATCTATAGATACAAATATATTTATATATTTTAATATATATTTAAATATTGATAAATTGATATATTTATATACTGATATATTTATATATTTACATATTTATATATTTATATATTTATATATTTATATATTTATATATTTATATATTTATATATTTATATATTTATATATTTATATATTTATATATATTTTTATATATTTATATATTTATATATTTATATATATTTATATATTTATATATATATTTATATATTTATATATTTTTATATTTTTATATTTTTATATATTTATATACTAATAAACCATTATATTATTTTCATTGTATATAAATTACAAAACTAATAATTTTTAAAAAATTTAACGATAATTTTTTTAACTTATATATTACAAAATATTTTTTAATACTTTAATAAATATAACTTTTTTTAAATATTTTCATTAATTTAAAGTATAACTTTTAATATTTTTTAGTATTTTTTTAAATGTAGATATCTTTAATATTTTGGACATATAAATATAATTTATAAATGTTTCTAAACCTTTTTCTAATATTTATTTTTAAAAATATAATATCATTTTTAAAATTTTATAGATTTATTTCCAATCTATAATTTGAGTTTTTAAAAATGTTTATTTCCAATCTATAATTTGACAGAAATCACATAGAAATGTATTATATGTTATATTATAGAAATGAAATTAAGTTATACTTTGGAGAATATATATATATATATATATATATATATATATATATTAAAATATAATTTAATTTTAAGTTGATAATTTTAATTTTTATTTATGTAAATTTTATATATAAAATTAATTTAGAGTCATATATGTAATTTTAATTTATGTAATATATATATATATATATATATATATATATATATATATAATATATAATTTATTTCACATTAATTTTATAGTTATAATTTTTTTAAAAGTTATAATTATAAATAAGATTTTTTTAATTATATAATTATAATTTTTATAATATATAATTGATAAATAATTTTTTTAATTTTAATTTAATATATATTTTATTTATAATTTTTTAATATATAAAAGTGAGCATATAATAGCGGTTCCACGTTAACCGCTATCTAAAATATATTTTAGATAGCGGTTAACTTGGAACCGCTATTGTATATTTTCAAATATAATCAATTATTTGAAAATTTAATCGATCATAATCAAATATGTGGTGAGCTATGATAGCGGTTCCACCTAGCACCGCTCTTAAAAGGTAACATATAATATCGGTTCTACCTGAACCGCTCTTAAAGTTAACATATAATAGCGGTTCCACGTGAAACCGCTATTATATGTTATATTATAGAAATGAAATTAAGTTATACTTTGGAGAATATATATATATATATATATATATATATATATATATATATATATATATTTTTTTTTTTAAAATATAATTTATTTTTAAGTTGATAATTTTTATTTTTATTTATGTAAATTTTATATATAAAATTAATTTAGAGTTCATATATGTAATTTTAATTTATGTAATATATATATATATATATATGTATATAATTTATATAATATATATATAATTTATTTAACATTAAAAATAGTTATATTTTTATTAATTTTATAATTATAATTTTTTTTAAGGTTATAATTTTAAATATAATTTTTTTAACTTTATATTTATAATTTATATAATATATATAATTTAAAAATAATTATTTTTTTTAATTTTAAGTTGATATATTTTTTTATTTATAATTATTTAATATATATTTGAAAAACTAATTGATTATTTAAAAATTAATCAATTATTTAAAAAAATAGCTGATTCTCATCAAGTATGAAAAAATGAAGTATGAAAAAACTAATAGATTACTTTTTGAAATAATCGATTAGTTTTTTAAATAGTTAATATATATATATATATATATATATATATATATATATATTTATATTTTATATATTATAGAAATGAAAAGTATTTATACTTTGGAGAATATATATATATATATATATATATATATATATATATTAAAATATAATTTATTTTTAAGTTGATAATTTTTATTTTTATTTATGTAAATTTTATATATAAAATTAAATTAGAGTTCATATATGTAATTTTAATTTATGTAATATATATATATATATATATATATATATAATTTTATATAATATATATAATTTATTTAACATTAATTTTGTAGTTATAATTTTTTTTAAAGTTATAATTATAAATAAGATTTTTTTAATTATACAATTATAATTTTTATAATATATAATTGATAAATAACTTTTTTTAATTTTAATTTAATATATATTTTTATTTATAATTTTTTAATATATATTTGAGAAATTAATCAATTATAATCTATAATTTGAAAAACTAATCAATTCTAATCAATTATTTAGATATGATAGCGGTTCCATCTGAACCGCTCTTAACGAGGAGCATATAATCGATTATTTGAAAATTTAATCGATCATAATGAAATATGTGGTGACCTATGATAGCAGTTTCATCTGGAACCGCTCTTACAAGTTAACATATAATAGCGGTTCCACGTGAAACCGCTATTATATGTTATATTATAAAAATGAAATTAAGTTATACTTTGGAGAATATATATATATATATATATATATATATATATATATATATATATATTAAAATATAATTTATTTTTATTTATGTAAATTTTATATATAAAATTAATTTAGAGTTCATATATGTAATTTTAAAATTATTTCAAAATTAGATAAAAGAATACAAAAATTTGGAAGAAGAAATTTATGCTTATCAAAAGAAGAAAAAACATAAGGATACATCAAATTCAAGTATTAAAACTAATTTTATTAGATGGTTCAAATATGAAGATTTTGGATACCTCTAACGAAGGTAAACCAAAAACTTTATCAAGACCTCATAAATTATTCCAAGTACTTGAGAGTGAGAAAAAAAATTATTACAAAATGTAGATGTTAGAAATCTCACATCCTCTAGGATGAAAAGAGAAATAAAGTTTAGAGAAGAAAAGAAAGATATTAATAAAAAAAATAGAAAGATTAAAGACAAAGAAGAAAAAGTAAGGAAAGAAATTGAAAAGGGAGTTTGTTTATTGAAAAACTAAAAAAAATCATGAACATTTTGTTAAGCTTAACTTGGAGAAAGAAATTTCTTTTTAAGTTCTAAATTCTTGTAAATCCTATTGGTTATTGTCTTCTTTTTTTTCCTACTCCATGCATCACGATGAAAAGTATTGGTTTCTCGTACTAAAAGACTTATTGGAGACCTACAAAGACACATCACCTTTAATCTACATTTAGATATAAAAAAAATGATAATATACTTAAATATTCCTTAAAAGACCATCTATAAAAATGGAGTAAACACTAACAAAATTTGAACATTAATTATATAAAGATTAAACATCAATTAATCGTAAATCATCTGTATAAAGGGTGATTATATTATTGGATTTGTTGATTATTAACCAACTGATGTTGTTACTAAATTGTTTACTAAAAATTATTTAAAGAACTTCCAAATGAACTAGACATGAATAAATTGCAAAGACTGCTTCATCCATTCTAGTTTTGTGATGTCATCATACTGTTTTGTATTTGGTACAATATTTCAAAGCTTACTTATGGACTTAATCAAAATGGTAATTAGAACCCACCAACAGTACCTTCACTTACCTTACTCCAATCAACAATGAACACCACTCGCTACGTGTTGCATTGTTTCAAGATCGAGAAATCACTAAAATCGTTAAGGAATCTATCCAGAATAGATAATTCAGGTTTAATCTATCTCGATAACTTGGGTTAATCAATTTAATTCTACCTTCAAAATCAATAATATTCCAAGATTCTAACAATGTCAGTTTAGCGAATTCAATTGTAAATAGTGTCAGTATCCATTCTATTATATTAAAAACGATCAAGTAGACAAAAGAACCAGTATAAATTATTAAAATGTCTAAAATAGATATATCGTTGAATTCAAATTTCAAATATGACACGGTTTAAATACTTGTTTATTCTTGCATTGCATAAGGGTCTAACAATTAAAAATATGAACTTAATTTAATAATTAATAAACGTAAATAATGTTCTTATGGCATTAAATAATATTATTTTGATATTTAGGAGGGTAAAATTTTGAGGGCGAAGAAAAGATTTTGATAGAGTATAGCTTAGACCGAGTCTGTTTAGACAGAAATTAACTCCAAAAACAGTATCTTAACATAGCATTGTAGTATTTAAAGTTGTCAATATTGACTATGTGTAGAATTCTCAGTAGTATTTAAAGGAAATATATATATATATATATATATATATATATATATATATATATATATATATATATATATATATATATATAGTTTTAGTTGCTCATAAAAAAACTTGTTTTAGACTTCGTCAAATAGAACATTTACAATAAAAAATGGTATTCGTGTTAAAAAGGCAAGTGAAATAAACTAATCTATCATGTAAGTTCAATAAAAGACCTAGTCAACATGTAGCAAATTTCAAATTTCAATGCTGTTGTATTTCTTTCTGCACTCCTGTTATTTCAAGTCTTTGGTTTTGTCTTTTTCAATTGACTAAATATATATGTTCTTTTCATACTATTGTCAAAATTTATTTTCCTCCTAAAAATGCATATAAAATTTCGCCACTTGAAAACAATGTGGAATAAATAGAGTGAAAAACTTAAAATCAATCTGTTAAATCTTTGTATTTCCAGGAAATATATACCCTAAGATTCTTTGTATACATTTTCCATGAAGATGTGACTAGTAAACATTTTCTCCCTCCACCCCACTTCACTGATTTGAGACTATAAATATGCGATAACAGCCATCATTTTATCCATGCAAAGAGAAGATTGAATACTCTCTGCTAAGCATTACTAAATATTTCACAACCATGAAGGCTTTTCTTATTGCATTCTTACTCTTTGCCTCTGTTTTCATCATTCCCACTTCAACTCTGGCTCGAGAGCTCAATGGTAATAATACTCGCTAACTTCTCCATACTTCCTCTTCTCAAATGCATGTTCATAACAATCTTGTTTATGCATGAATCAATGCAACGCTTGTTACATTCAGCATCTATATATATGACGTTTGTTTGAATCAAAATAAGGCATTTTGTACAAATTTATCTTTGAGTACTTCTAGAACACTGATTAATTATGTATATACGCTATTATTCTGCAGAAGGGTCGTTTCAGACGGAAGACCCTAATAATCCTGCTGTTAAATGTGATACCAATAACGGGTATAGAAGTTGCTATGCAACGACACCGCCAATCAAATCGGCAGCATCACCATGCTCAGATTACAGTCGTAATTGCTGACCACGTCCTAATTTGGATAGTGTCGAATGGATTATAAGTAGCTTTACTTGTAGATGGTGCCATTTTAACACTTGCTGTGTTAAACCATGGTGCTATCATCTCTATATTTTTCTTTAGAATTCTGAGTGCTTTGGCTGAATAATGAGTGCTTTTCCAGTTTGCAGTTCATGTTTGAGAGATAGGTTTGGCCTCTAGGCCAATCCAATAAATAAGAACTTGAAGTATACTTTTCAATATTGTTTAAGTACGTTGTTTTATCTAATCATAATTAATAGCATTATATAAGTCTGCCAATCCTGATTAGGATTTATCTTTATTTTAATTCGTATACTACATATTTTGTAATTAATTTTGTGACGAAAAACGATCGTATTTATAAAATTTACATGAAAAATATAAATTAAAATATATTCATTCTCTTACATGAATTTGTTTTATTAATTTATTCTAATTATCATGTGTACATGTTAATAAAAAAAATTGATAAAAATATAAAATGTAATCATACTTTTAATTTTAATGTAGTTATTTTTAATATACTCCTAAAATATTTTTAAAAATAATAAAATTCATCAACATATATCAATAGAATGATATTGATCCAATAGAATGACTCTGCCTCAAGAGTTATTCCATTATTTTGAATATACTTTATCATCTTAAGATTTTTTATAGGATGAATAATTTTATTGATATCATCATATTTCATACATTTAATTCTATTTCACATGGTTGGAGGTCTTCTGGGATTTGTCTTTTACATGTGTTCCAAACAAAACACAATGGTTTTTTTACAATATAACTCTTGATAATAAGGGCTTCTAAGAAACATTGATTCTTCACGTACTCTTTCAAAAATTTCTTACAACATTTGATAAGTTGAACCACTCAAAAAATTTTAATCCATAAATATAACACATTACATTAATGAATTTCAAACCTAGACATTGATTTGTGATGCAAATTAAGAATTTTAACCAAACAATTTTAATTACATAGATATTAATGAACTATAAACTATTAGAATAATTTCTTTAAAACATAGAAACCAAGTTTTAATTAGTTAATCAACCTTAAAAGAGGATTAAAATTGCATTATAAAAAATGGAGAACAGTAAAAATAGTATAAGATTAAAATCCTGGGAAAAAGGTAAAGAAAGAAAAAAATACAAAAAATTAAATGAAAGAAAATAAAGAAAAGAAAATAAATATGGTCTAAAATATCTATAATGGATAAACTTCAATAAACAATTTGTACAAGATCCATTGGGATTTGAGAAGCTAAACTAAGAATATGAGATAAAAAAGAGAGAAAACTAAGTTATGAATCTAGATATTGTAAAAATGATTGATAACTTATGTTTTTTTACTTTTTCAAATATTTATATATAACAATAGACACAATTGAATCACACAGGTCATACAAGACATAAAATAAATCAATTATATTAATTAAAACTCGAATCACAAATTTATAGAAATAGATTATTTGATAAATTCACACATTTCCAAAGGAAATTTTTAATAATAATTGTTTAAGAATAAAATTAAATATTTTATTATAGGTCCTACGGTTGAATTATTTAAAAAAAATATTTTTAAGCAATTTAAATATGGGACGTACGATAAAATATTCACTTTTATTTCTAAACAACTATTTGGTAATAACTTTTTTTGGATATGTTCTAAAAAAAATAGTAAAATGTAGACTTATTTAACAGTAATTTAACTTCTTTTCTTCTTTTTATCATTTTTTATTAAAGTATAATTAATTAATTAATTAAAATGTACCATTCAAACAACAAATTAGACGTAGAACTTTTCATTTCCTTTTTATTAAAATTATGTTAATAATAATTCATTAAATATCTAATAAAATATATTCATCACAAGCCTATCTTTTCGAGACTTGTTATAGGCATATACATGATAAACAACTCTTGCCATGTGACATGCAAGTATCTTATCTCAAATAATGTTATAATCAAATTTATACATATTTAACTATATTTTTAACATGTTTAACCTTTTTTCTCTCCAATACAACACATTACATCAATTTCTTGTGCTATTCCTTCCAGCCTAATTATTTTTTAAGACTTTATAGACTTATATTGATTCAAATAATAATCGATATTATATACAGGAATTTATGTAGAATTTACAACTTATATAGAAATTGATATAATATTTACTTTTTACAAAACAATCAATATAAAAAATCCTTCATCTTTACATATCCATTGTTGTTTTAACTAATATATAAAATAATTATTTGATTGATTCCTTATACAACTAATATAATATCTATTTTTTTATTCAAATAACTATCAATATTTGAATAATTCTAATATTAACAAGATTATCATCACATTAAATTTAATATTAATTTTTCTAAAATCAATATTACATAAAGATTATATAGTATATAGGTGAATTCGGTTCTCACTTTATTACATCAATTTTGTAGAATTAAGTTAAATATCTCACTATTTCTAAATGGTATCAAAACTTATTCTAATATTAGTGAAAATTAAAACTCTCCATATAATAATATATTATAATATATAAATGAATATAATCTTTATTTTATTGAGTCAATTATATATCTCATCCCAAAACTAATTATTTAAAAAATAATCATTAACAATATTCAATATTCAATATTTGACTAATATTGGACTATTAAATGTATTAAAAAATCTCAAACTAAATATATAATAATATTATAAAAAGTATAATTTGAAATCAAATATATAATAACATTACGATTTGAAATTAATAACAGTTTTGTAAGATTAGTGAGATATATCACCATTTCAAATATTTATTTTTTTATGTTTGTGTGGAAAGATGAGTGAGATATATCACCATTTCAAATATTTATTTTTTTTATATTTGTGTGGAGTAGGATAATATTTGAGTTTTATTAGAGTTATTAAAAAGAAATATTAATTTGAACAACCACTAACCACTACACCTGCCGACAAATATTGATTGGTTACTTCTACAGCAACAGTGAGGGCAAAGTAGTTCGTATTAACAAGATATCTTCTGCAATGATAATATAGATAGACCCCAAACAAGACATCGCACCCAAAATTATGGTCCAAAGTAGAATATACCAATATATACTACACAACGTCACCAATTCAGGTAATTTCTACTTAAAATATTGCTAGAGCAGAACTACAGACGTTAACAGACTTAATCCACTAGAAATTTGCCACTGATTTTTCACATTCAGATTCAGCAATAGCATCAACCTCAAGCTACAGCAACAACCTCAGGAGTTGCCACAGCCACAACCTTGGGAGGATTAGAACTTGTACTAGCTCCATCAGGTGGTCCAGTTTTGGCGTCCTTTTTGGTTTCTGAAGATGGTGGAGGCTTGGGCTTCATATGTGGAGGGAGATTATGCTTGAGCTTCAACAATATCTGGCGCATTCTTGAAAGGTCAGTTGGCTTCCCTGGTTTTGGACCCTGGATTACAACAATGGAAGGCTTCTTCTCTTTGTCCTTTTTCCCTCTCTTCTCTATTGAGGGCACTTCATGCGGAATTAGTTCACCAACGGCCTTCCAATAGTTTTTGTCAGCTTCAGCATGGAAGTTCTCCCAGCTCGCCAAAAATAGCTGCCGTACATACAGTGAGTAATATATTAAGGCACTAGCTTAGATGTACACAAAATAAATTCCAAATTTAGTTACTGGTTTACATAACTGTAACTTGGATTCAGGCATATGTAGTTGAGCTAGATGATCAAATTACCGCCTGAAATACTTGAACAAAAAAAGGGAGGGGGAAGAGGAAAATGCATGTTCCAATTATTAGGAAAAGAAGAAGAAAAACACCACATCAGCATGAAAAATGGTACGTAGACTACGATCAGGTTTAAAACATTATCAGCACTATGAAATCTGTTTTACTAAATAAGAAATTTGCATTTATATTCTTCTTGCCTGAAGAACAGTACAATAATATTCCTCATCCACGGAACAATCTTAACATATCTCTCATTACTAAATATTAAGTTGCTTATGCTATAATTTACACAATAAATACACGTTTAAGAAAAAAAAAATCCATCTTATGTGACTGCAAGGATTGACTTCAAATTTATTTCATTCAGATTGCCACTAGTTCAGTCCACATAGTCAAATTTCAACTTTCACATTAATATGGTCTATCTTTTACACTTATTTCTCCCACTTGAATAATACTTCGTGGTCTACCTAAAATTTCACTTATCCTTGTGCAAGTTTACGTCTCCTAATATTGATAGTAATAGAGCTAGGATGGCCTTTTCAATTATCACACAGGTTGCCATTGAAATTTTCATAGGACTCAAATCAAAGAAGTGATCTTCAGCTTGATCGAATTCTCGAAGGAAAAAGAAGACCAACAGAACAAATATGCAACAAAAAATTCACCTTCTCTCTTTCCCTGTTAGAAGCCTTGTTGTTCTCAACATTAACCTCACGCTTTCTGTAGAACTCAACTTTGTACACTTCCGCTTCCTCTATTATCTGCAACCGCATCTCCTTCTCCTTCTTCTCCTTCTCATCCAATTGAATCGCGTTCTGCCTGCATCATCATCATCGTTATCAAAATCACAAACTCAAAAGCAAAGAACTGAATAGTGAACTCAAAGCTCCAACCTTCGCCACTCTCTCAGAGCAAACCCTTCCTCCATCGCCATATCCATCGGGGGCGGCAAGATCGGGCCAGCGGAATTTCCAAAACCTCCGTCCACACCCTCCCCGTTCTGCTCTGGCGAAAACGCGGCGAATCCCTCGGTGGCGGAGTAGATCGGAGGAGGAGACGTAATCTCCGCCGCCGCATGAGCGGAGAACACATCATCTCCATCGTTGTACGACGCGCCACCGAAAATCGGAGACGAGTCACCTGCCGAGTCCTTGACCGAGTTGCCGTCGAAATTGGAGAACGAGTAGCCAGCGAACGCACCGTCGCCGTCGAATGGCTGGCTCGAGCTTCCGAAGGATGATAACATGGTAAATTCTCCGGCGATGTTCCAATTTCGTCCGGCGAAGCGAGGTGGCCTGAGGAATTCGAATAGCGTGTTTTAGATGTATGTGGAATTTTCCGGGTGTGTAATGAACGACGCCGTTTTGACTTCTGTTATATGACTGATTAATGTGGAGTGAAAATATTTAGAAAGAAATAAAAACCCGCTAGTGTAGTGACGCGTGGGAGTAACGTGGAGCTCAGAGCAGAGCATAAAACAAAATACTATACTATACTATTCAAAATTCTATTTTCTATGCCACGTGTCCAAAATGTATTACATGGGTTCTTCACAATTTTCTTTGAAGATTTAAAATTATTTCTAGATTCACGGCATGAATGATGAGAAATGGTGTAAAAAATCAACCTTCATGGAAAAAACTTTACCAAAATGAACCTGTTTCCAATTTAATTACAGAAAATAGAGATGTTCTCTTTAACAGGTCAAGATTTGATCTTTGAGACTTAAATCAGCGTCATAGAATTGGAATTGTATGTTACCACTGAAATCAAATTTAATTTTCAGGTAATTTTGGAGTGATATTTGTGTCTTTTCTAAGAGTAAATAAACATTTAAAAAATTTAGTAAAATAAATTTTAAATCTTAAACTCTAAACTTTAAAAAATAATAATAAAATAAATTATGATTGATTTTATAGAATTAAAAAATGTATGCTATTTAGTTTACTTTGTAGCTATAGTTCTATAAAATTTATTTGTGGCATAGTTTATAATAATATGTTAACATAGTTTTAGTGTTTGGATCGGTACATAAATTTTTAAGTTCTAAAGTTGAGTATTACATAATTTTATATTTGCATTTTGTCAATCTATCTTCATTATTTTATTGTTCTAACATTGCATTTATTACCAGAATTAAATACTCTATACTTCTTTTTCTTCAGATGGGAGATTTTTTTTAATATAATGTGATTGATTTTTTTTCAACAGTACAGCTACCTTTTATATTTATATTTATATTTATTTTTATTCATAAAAAATTCATCTATAGTCAAGATTCACTATTTATAATTTTTTTAGAATGACTTTATTAAATAAATAAGTATACAATAAGTTTTATAGGACTTTATTTTCAAAATATAAGTCAAATTTTGAGTGTCTTATCAACTATATTATCATTTGTCAGTCTAGTTTTAGTTTTTGTAAAACATGATTAATTGGGTAATCGATTTTGATCATTATATTAAAATTTTGAAAATAAGATTTTTAAATAATTAAGTCAAGTTCTAATTTTTTTTTATGATAAAATATCTCCGTTTTAAGGATTTATCAAAGTTGATAAAGATGTCATGTCTTTTCTTGATGAGTTAGAATAAATTTTTATATTTTTTACTCAATTGAAATGTTTGTGAGATATTCAATAATTTGAAAAATACTCCATTTTAAAGGTTAATTTTGGTAGAAAGCATATTAATACTATTAATTTTTCGTTTAATTTTTGTACATCTTTTATATTTTTAAAGACTCTGTACAACAGTGATGCACTTATCTGGATTTGTTTAATGATGTCGCTAATAATCACAACTCATAAAACTTTTTCTCTTATGTCAAATATGTAGTAGTATAGGATAATCAACTTCTTGTTTTGACTTAACTATAATATTATTTATGTATATTTCCATTTTGCATCTAATAAAGTTTTTAAAAATATTATCCATTAATTCATGATATGTTACTAATATGCTCTTTATTCCTAATAACATTATCTTATATTAGGAGTTTACATGTTTTTTAATAAAAGTTGTTTTTTCCTTATTCAGCATTTATATTTGCTTGTTTCGGAAATACCATTCAAAATATTAGTAGAATAACTTTAATGTAACATCAAAATCCTTTTTCAAATTTTCATTCAAAATCATAAAAAAATAAACCAAAGTCAATAAGTCAAATTTTTATTTGTTGTACTCAATATAAGAAAATTTTACTATTAAATTTGTAGACTTTCTACAAAAATATTTAATATATCGGTCAAAAATATTTTTCATGATAAAAATATATTTTCTCTCTGAGATTGTTAGAAAATAACAAAAATAAATTTGATTTTTTTTACCCCAATTAATCCAATCCAAAAATTCAAACAATTTTTTCAATTTGATCGGATTTTAAGTTTTATTCCAATTCAATTAAAATTTAATTATTTAGAATTTAAATTAGTTGAATCAACCGATCTAATTTTTAAAATAATGATTAAGAAAAATAATAAACAAAAATTAAATTTAAATAGTATGAGTTCACAAAGATTAAACATGATCCTTAATATTTCCAAATATAATCATTCAAATTAATTTTATATAATGAAGGATCTCGAGTCAATAATAGATTTCGTTCCAAAGTATTTCATAAAAAATAATAAAATCGCATGCAAATATTTTAATCATCTGACGCAGCTTCCAAAAATCTCACAATATACGCCTCAAGTTATGTGACTCCCATTGTCGTACGCTGTCAACTTCACGTAAATCACGACACACTATTTAAATACATCCCTAAACATTTTCACCAGTAATTTATTAATCACAACCATAAACACATTTGATTTTGGTTATGTCCTGACGTTCTGAATATATATTAAAATCCTTTTCTGAATACAAAATTTCATATAAATCAAAATATCATAAAATTTTATTAGACCCATCTGAATAAAACTTGTGTGACTTTTTGTGGGCTCTCTCCAATTTAAGTATTTTATTTATTTTAAAAGACTAAATTATCTTTACATTTACATATTTTCATGTTTAGTAAAAAATATTTATCTTTTTATGCACTTTTTTTATAACCAAACCAAACGTAAGAGTGAAAAATAAAAATATAATTATTTTCCTTCTCACTTTATCTCATTAAACAGCCTAAATGATTTTTTTTTCTTCCAGTTTCCTTCTTAAACCAAACATATAAAAAGTAAAATAAGATAGAAGTATATACTATAAGAAGTAGTTTATTAGAGTAAGTTAATTCTGGTCTATCCTCCACCTGTATGCAATGCTGAATTGACATAGTAAATGCTGTTGGAAATATGCAGGTCAAGAATTCAGAAGCCTGAGTATACAAATCCATGTGAAGACAGAAACTAAAAGTGGTTTCAATTATCTACTACATTGAATTAACAATTTAAGTACACAATATGGGAGAAATCACAGTACTTTAAATGCTTTTTTTTTCTAAAGATTCTTAAGGTTTCATCCCAGTAAAATTCATTATCTTAAGGCAAACTTTATTATACAAATAACTTAAGATAAATTTTAATTATAATTGGAAAGCAGTACTTATTTCCAGTACGTAAGTTATAAAGAATTGTATCTAAGGTTTGACCCTTTACATCTGCATTTTCCATATTTTTAAAGCATAAGAATGAAATAGTATAAATGCAGAAGCATTTCATAGCACTTAATACAACAGAATAGATGTTACAGATTATTATCACTATGTTAATCATAACCATAGAGCTACCTATCTCCCACAAAACTCCTACAAGCTAGTACTGTACAGATTACAGAAGGGGCCAAAACTGAAAGAATGATTGAATCTAAGTATATGACAGCATAGTATACACTCAACAATCATCATCACATGACATCTAGCCCCATCCATCTTTCCCAGGCCAATAAAATTTAGGCAAATGGATCAGAAGATCACACTCATGTCATGATCAATTTCATTGAAGTTTCTTCCAGTGGTTCTGTAAAGTTCCACCTCAAAGGAATCCTAGTTTTGATAGAAACTCCTTTACCGTTTCTTGGCTCCATTTGATGTAATTTTGCATGGGAGTGCCATCTTCTGGTTCATAGTTTGGGCTGCTCTCTGTTTCTGGGAACAAATGAGATGATTGTTCATGTCCATTGTAAAACAGCTCTGGCTCATTATTGATTGGTGCATTTATCTCTTGGGGTGTGGCATCATCAGTTTCTTGCTCCTTATTGAACTGAACAATTACAGTTTAAGCACATGAAAAGTAAGATTCAAGAGATAACAACACTAGCATCAACTATTTAATAGTTGCATGAGTTTAAAGAATGCAAAGTTAACACCAACCCTTTTCTCATTAGATGATGTTGACTACATGAATCAAATTGTGTCATAGTATTACATTTTAAATAATGTCTACAAATAAGTTGGTAGCATTTTTCCCCCTATGGCAAATTTCTATACACGCGCTTAAAAAAATGGTCAAAATTTCCCATCCCAATGAAGCTCTAGATTATCAGAAATTTATTGCAAACCATGTGTCAGATGCTTGTAATAAAGGGTAATAAGTCATTGTATTTATATCATAGGGAAACTTCATCGGAAATTTATTGCAAAACCAGTGCCACATACTTGCAGTAAAGGGTAAGGAGTTATGTACTTATAAAATGGGAAACTTGCATTATACTATTGTAAATATAATCTCATGGCAATGCTAGAGGATATGCTTGATTAGTCTTTCTAACAGGTTCCAGAATTCCAGAGTCTGAATAAATTGAGTTATTATGGCCTTTGTTATTCAAACATCCAAAAACTTGTAGTAAAATCTTTCGAGAGAATAGCTTGGCTCTTCTATTTTACCATAAATTGTTAGAGCACTCCATCAGTGGTTAAGATTCATTTAATTAATGATAACAATTAAACAGGAAACATTCTTTTCTTCGTTCCGTTTTTGGCCATAGATGCATTCATTGTGTATTTGAGAAACGGTGATGCCCCATAGAGAAGGACACAAATCTCTTTATTGATGAAACATAGATGATGATACAAACACAACAGGACAATTCCGTTTATTATTTAATCACATATCCTCACACAGGATTCCAAATCCCAAGCTCCAAACTACTTGTTCTTCAAAGAAAGAGAATCAAGCAAAGCTCTTCCAACGGTAGTTATGGACAAGTAAAGTAGGGAAAAGGTTAGAAGGATAGGAGAAAGGCAAGGTCACACTCATCAAGCGTTTACCTTGGGTGGATTCTGATCTGGATCGATTTCAGAAGCTTCAACTGAAGTGTCCATGGTAGTCTTTTCTTGAACTTCACCTTGTCCTGCTTCATTAGTTGGTTCAGTTGGTGGTACCATTAAGCCAGGTACAAGAACAGGACCGCCTTCAAAATCAAATAAGCTGCTATCCACAATTATCCCTTCCTGATTCTCCAGTGATGCAGGACTTCCATTGTGTCCAAGATCATGTATTATATCATCATTTCCTGTACTATCAGCAGATTCTTCACTCTTTTGAAGTATATTCTTTTCATTCCATTTACTGCTTGTACTCTTGATAAGATCCTCAGGGGAAGTCGTACTTTCTGCAATAATAGTCAAAGGAATTTCCATCGAGGAAGAACTACTATTATCAGTGGCTTGTTGCATGACTGGTTCAGCAAGTGGTATCTCCTCTTCATGAATTTGGGTATCTTCAACAGCCGATATTTCAGAAGCATAGGAATCCAGTTCTTCTTGAGGATTATCCAATATTTCAGCAAAAGTAGACAGTTCTGATTCAATCTGGGATTCCTTTTCTGGTTCAGCAAGTTGATCTTCATCCATTATTTTCTGAAGTTCTGCATTCTCCCAATCTTCACAAACAGTTATTCTATTCATAGTTTCCGAAGTGTGGATCATTCTATCTGACCCTGGCTGCCACATAATATCACCTTCTTTGCCTTTCAATATGAACTTGAACTGGATTGACTTTCCAGCAGGTATATCCTGATTATACAAGGGAAAGCATAAACAAAAATTACAGAAGTTCTCTATCAGACAATATTTTCACATTCTGATCACATTTTACTCACCTGCTCAGCAGTCCACACATGTCCTTCAGACCATGTCATCGGTAATGCTTCCATCGGATCCCATGAACCAAGCATAGGATCATCTCCAACTATAAGAAACTGTTCTCCGAAGTCACAATCCTTTTGCAACTCAAATGCTACACGAACAAACTTCGATTCATCTGCACAAAAAATTACAATGTTAGGATTTTGAATTCCACAGGATATAGTAGACAAATTATTAAAGGCCTTTAGAACCCACTTGTTTGTTCAACTTTTTGAGCTTCAGCTTCTATAGTTTCGGAGTCCACCTGCAACATTTTATTCAGGCCAAAGACAAATATTTTCTCAATTTATCTAGTGAATGTACAACAAACAGACAACAATTCCTTAACAAATTTCCCCTCATAAAAGAACCTATTAGTTTGGGAACAAACCTAGATGCAGTTCTTTAAATACTTTTAATGTTGTTATTTAATTGGAATTGTGGTTTTGACTTGGTAATCTACGCTAATTTTTAATGGAAACATTTATTACCCGAATTATTGGTGAAACTTCAAATCTGATAGAAAATTGTACCAAAGTACCGAGAAACTACATGTTCTTAGTTTGGGTCTTATGTTCTATGAATTATACTCAAACATGGTAAAATATTCTCCAGACAGTAAAGAGGCTCCAGCAGTAGCACCAGAGAAATAAGAGAAAACTTCAAACGGGAACAATGTTGGAAAGAACGCCATTCATGCCTAGCTATAAAGACAGTAAGTTTTAAAATAAAATTAAAGCAAAAGGTTGTTGAGGTAGTAACCGGTAAAGGAAAAAGAAAACAAAAAGCAAAACAAAATTGTGGTTGAAGCCTCCAAACATTTGAGGCAATAATCATTCCCAAAAAGGGCAAGAAAAACGATGACAATGAATCAGAACCAAGAGTATAGAAGTAAAACGAAATGGTTATCAGCAAGTTTTGGATCTGCACATAATCATAGAAAAGGAAGAATAATGAGAATAAAATGAAAACAAAAGATGGGATAAAGCTAGACAAACCCAACTTTTTAGTTGGTAGACTACAGTACACGAAAAACCAGGGAAAGAAAATGAAAGAAAAGAAAAAAAAAAGCATATCTTGGGGAACCCAATAGAATCTCCCCAATTGAAAGCAATCATGTTCCAAACAAACAAGCACCCATGAACATGATAACTCAGATAAAGAAAACCAAAGCAGCAAACTAAGCACAAAGGGAAAAAAAAAACCTGGTCTTTTGATGGCACTGCATGAACTGGGAAAATTCCCTTGTTTGGAACAAGTTTGAGGACCCATAAGTTGCAACCCTTTCTGCCGTTCCTTGAACGCGGAGTGAAGAAGAATTCGGCTCTATCAGCAACACGGATGGCAACTCTGGGAGACAAAGATCCTATAGTGTCAACGATGGCCTTAGAACAAGAAATGGTGAGGGCTTTCATCCTTGAAGAGTGGTGAAGTTTGGTGTGCCACAAAACAGAACACAACGAGTTCCACGGTGAACACAGAGGTGTAGTTTAGTTTTACTTTGATCGCTTTTGTTGGATAGTGGCTGAAAATCCAGAATCTATCTATGCTGGCGGTGAGTGTGAGTCCGTGAGAAGTAGGGTGGGGTCAATTTATAGTGGCGGGTTTATGAAGAAAGCTTAATTTATTTTATTATATCGTGGTACTACTAATCATGCATGCAAAAGAAAAAGAAGGAAAAATGGATCCACGTGTATGTTTCACGTATTAAAGAAATATGCTAATTAAGCAATTTAGACCACTGATTATTAAAATTTACTAATTTTAAATTAATTTATAATATTAATTTCTTTATTTATTAATGATAAGGCCAAGAGCATTGATGAAAAGTTACGTGTTTATTTTGTTACGTTCACAGAATGACATCAAATAAACTATACTGGTATAATACTTGCTCATGCTGTGTTATTATTTTTAAGAAACTATAGTTACAATTTCATTGAACTACCTAGTTAGATTTACTACCTCAAGGGCTCAATAAAGGCTTGTCCTCAACTTTGACACTGATCACCTTGTAATGGTAGCGTTTAACAAAGATCAAGATGTAGACAAGATTTAATGCTGCAAGCCCTGCTATGAGGAAGTAATAGTAGTCCAATCTGCCAGCGTTTATGTCATCGTTGAGCCAATCAATTCCACCATGCTTTCGAGTGACTTGGTGCACCACGTTCACCACTGCTGTGCCAACATAAATTGAAAATGCAAGCACAAGATACTGCAACGAATTTCCTATGCTTTTCATTTTCTCTGGTGACTCGGTGCTGTAGAACTGAATGTGCCCAACAAGCGTAAACATCTCACACAATCCTAAGAACACAAATTGTGGTGCCAGCCACATTGCATTCATGGGTGCAGCCCCATCAGGTGCTCCATGTGAGATTGCCACACCCCTTCTGCGCCTCTCCACCAAGCCAGCACTTACCATTGTGAGAACCGAGAATATATCACCGATCACAATTTTCTGAAGGCTCGTGAGCCCTTCCTCTTTCTTGGTCACTTTTGCTAATGCTGGCTGCAGAAAGAGGTCAAAGCACGGGAGGAATATGCCAATGGTGATTAGGGACACCACGTTGTATGTTGCAGCTGGAAGTTTGAAGTGTTCTCCAAGGCGACGGTCCATTTTCATGGCCTGCGATACTGGGAAAGTGCCTTGTTGTGCTATGGGAATGAAGCAGAGAATACCAGAAGCCCAGATTGGAAGCATTTTCATCAAACATTTGACTTCTTCCACTTGCTGAATGCTGCAAAGCCTCCATGGATTTTTGACACTACCTTCTGTATTTAGTTCATTGTCTTGTATCAGGGCAGCTTTGTTTAAACACCTATGCAAAAATCAAATAGCTTGTTGATTGCAGGTAGTTCAATGTTAATCATCCTTTTGTGTTTTCTGTACTACACATTTTATGGTGAAAGAAGAAGGCAAAACAACTTATTTTTCTTCTTTATCTATTATAAAAGGCAGGATTTGAATCCAATGAATGAGCAGTTCACTTAAATATATAAAATAAGTAATGTAATGAGAAAATCAATCTTTAATATCATATGCATATAAAAGCTATTACTTTGACTTGTGAGAAAGGGTAGCAACCATCTCAATATCATAGATAAGATTAGACTTCAATCAACTGAAATAGAAAATATGTGGAAAAAATAAAAGTATGTACAAAACAAATTATAATTTTCTCATAGTAACTGAGATTAATGCTTTATCTGTACTCACTTTTTTCCAAGTCAATTTCTTAAAGATGAGATGCAAGAGTATTACAAAAATTCAAGGGTACCAGAAACATGATCTAATTAGCTGGAGTAACAGATTACCTAAGTTGTTTGGTTAAGGGCATCTTCAGTGGTGCTTTGTCATCCACTGGGGGATCATAGTAAAGACCCTCCTCTTCTTTTAGTGGAATTTTGACGTGATGCTTCTTATAAGCTGCAACAAACACCTGTGCAATACTAGTAAATATGCTCCCCTCTGCTGGAATGTAAACATAAACGCTAGCTCCAACAAAAAATATGATAATTGAAAGTGACATGAGAGCAGTTAGTATGCCAAAACCCAAGATCCAGCTTTTGTTCTGGAGGTAAACTATTGCTGTCAGACTGATTAACTGGACCACTGTCTGTGACGTGTAGTACCAATTAAAGAAGCTGTTCACTCCTTTCCTTCCTTCTGAAGAAGTTGTGTCAAACTGATCAATGGCAAAGGGAATAGTGCATGGTCCAATCCCCCCAGTGCCCACAGCCAGCCAGCACAGGCCTAAAATCAAGATGCCAAGTTGAGGACTCGTTGGGGAAACACATTGCTGGGTAGAACTGCATCTTGGAGGATGAAGTTGTGGCACCCAAGCTGTTAGTGTAAGTATCACCATTCCCTAATTAATCGCCAACAACAAAAAAGATATTAACAAGCATAAATAATTCCCAAAAATGCCTCCAATTTCACAAGCAAAGGCATATACATACATACACACTCACGATTTATGTCCCGTAACTTAACCAACTAAGGACATATTTTTAGTCCCATTCAAATTGTGGTGACAAGAATTCCAAAACATCTTCAGCCATAAGTAAGGATATATATCTTAGAGAAAAGAAAAACTTTTGACTGATAAACTGAAACTTTGGATAATTAAATTTATGAATTAGTAAGTTGATGGAATGAAATCACAACATTAAGAGTTCCAAGGTATTTTAATGGAGTAGAGTATTCATACCACGAGTGTTCCAAATGATGAAATAGCAATGGTTTTGAATTTTCCCAGATAAGCATCAGCAACACAGGCACCAATTATTGGTACGAAATTGCTTATTCCAATCCATACGCCAAGGACATTTGCAGCAGAAACCTGACCCAAGTTAAAGAATTGCAACAAATACACCATGAAATTTGCCATCATTCCCATTGTTGCAATCCTCTCAACTATTTGATTTCCTGCAAAATCACACAATACAAAAGCTTAGTTAGCTCAACTTGATCATAACAAATGGCACATTTTATATATACATGTACATTTTTCGGTTAGACAGAGACCTAAGATGTAAGAAATGGCCCTCCATCCTGGCTTGTTTTCCATTGCTCTTGAATTTGAGGAATCTAAACGTTTCTGTAAGTGACCCCTTATTCTTGATTTCCACTTCTTGAAGCAACTGGATCACAATCTTAATGTCATTTATTTTATTCTCTATCTTCATTAAATTCTACTACGGTATGCTTTTTCCGTGTACAATTGAGATTTTAGAAACAGCCAATCAAATTTTTTTTTTTTTTGGTGATTCTGTAAAAGTAAAAAAAAATAAAATCTTAAAATGTACTGGTGTGACAGTAATATATATATATATATATATATATATATATATATATATATATATATATATATATTAGTGTATTTTGATTAAACTCAAATAATTATAAATTTTTCATACTTTTAATCTTTTTTCCTGATAAATAAACATTATTTCCGTAAAATTAGGGTTTGCCAAAACTGTCCAGGCAGAACTTAAGCAACAAGAAGACTCAAAAGACTGAAAAAGCAAGCGTTAAAGTCAACACTCACAATATTACAGGAGGATAAAAAATTTTAAAAGAGTTACTTGTAATTAATTTAACAATTTTAATAAATAATTTATTTTTAATGGTTAAACTAAAAAATGAAAATAAAAAATAAGAAATAACTTTTTTAAAATCATTCTTTAAACAACTTTATTTCTCCTTTAATTAAATGACGTTTTTAGCTGTTATAAATTTTCATATAGTGAATTAATGTAACGCTGATGGTGATTTTAATGGCATGATTGATTTTCCATTTTTGTGTGGACATGGTTATGATGAACTTCCAAACACACCACTAATGTTTCTCTGGCTTTGGTGAGCTATGTAGACTGTTATTTAATGCTCCTTAAAATTTTCTTTTAGGAAAAAAGCACAATGTAGGAAATATAGAGTTGGATCATATTTAAAAAATAAAACCAAAAAAAAAGAAAAAAAAATGTTTGTTTGACAATAAAAGTAAAGATCTATTAAACTTATTAGGTTGGTGTAACTAAACCAAAATCACTTAATTTAAGTTATTGAAATTTGATTAGAATACGAAAGTTAGGAATATAAGTGGGGGTAATAAAGAAAGAAATTATAAAGTAATGATATAAAGAAAAAAAGGAAAAAGTGAAAAAAAGGGAAAATGAAGAGATATGAAATAGGAAAATGTATTTATTCATTTTAAAAGTATGAAATAGGAAAATTTTGTAAAATTATATTTTTTTATAATTTTCTATTGTATACTTTTATCCCATTTTATAGTTTTTTTTTACATCAAATAAAACTCTTGTATACTTTTATCCCATTTTTATATTGTTTTAAACCATTCATAACATTTTTCTATATATGTATAAAATCCTGTGAATCAAGCCGTACAAATTATGTATTGAACAGTATTATTCTTAATACGACATGAACATAAAATATAAAAATTAAAACAAATAATTTTAAGAAATTAAAAATATTTATTATATTAAAATAATTCATATAAATTTATAATAGATATTACGTATGTTTTAATTGATATCGATTACTTAGAAAACATTAATAGAATAAATTACATTGAATTAAAAATTGTCAAATGCTAATTAAATATTTTTAATTGTAAAATTACATTAATAAGCGCTCTTTCCATAATTTTTTTTTAATATTATGAAGGTAACAACTTTGTAATATAATTTGAAATCATTTCGTAATCCAATTTGGTAAAGAAATTTTAGATTATTTTTCTTAATCTAATATGGTAATTAAATATTAATAAACTTACTATGTTATACTTTTGTTTTCTATTTGCTATCATTCATTTTTATAATCTTATTTGAAAAGTACCCTTTTTATAATTTTTTTACAATGTTTCATTTCTTAAAAAAACTATATAAATCAATATCGGGCTATTTCTTTTTTAATTTTCAAAATCATTATTTATCAAAGTTTTTTTTTTTGACAAGTTTTAAACGTCAATTATTTCCACACGTTTGATGATATTTAAATTTAGATTCTATATGACATAAAATTATCGATTTCTTTGATGATTAAAAACGTAATAAAATAATGATTAATGTACGAAAATGAGAAAAAAAAATGTATTATTTATAAGTATTTGTCATAATTATTGTGTGAAAAATATATTTTACCCTTAATCATTTATTCAAATATGTATTCCCTTAATACAAAGTTCAACCTATCTTATTTACATTAATATACTCATACCAATATAATCCTTAAAATTCACATTGTAACGTTTAACTACAATTAACAAACATATATAAATGTAATCTTCAATATTTGTCTTAATAAAAAAAATCACAGCAAGAAAAGTAGAGAATGATTCAATACAATTACAATAAACCAAATCCTATAAAACCATTTAACAACACCATAACTAAAACCCAAAATAGATACAAAACATATGTTTGACCAAGAATAAAGAATCTTCTAAATATATTTGAATTTGCACAATAAAATACTTCAGATAACACCTAAGTTTATTCTTATCAACAACATGTTTGCTTGGAAATACGTTCAATCCAAACATAAAAAAAAAAAAAAAACATTACAAATAAAAGAGTGAGAAATATATATTATTAATGCATATTATAACCAAGGTAAAGAAAAAAAAAAGGTAAAGTATAACTAAACATGCATAAACATAGTAAGTCCCAACAGGTACTAATCAAATGTAACCTAATTAATGTTCTTTACTCTAAATAAACACGATAGCATTACATAAAACACTAACATATGAAATAGTATAAGAGTGCATGAATCAGAATTTTCTTATATGCTCTAATTCTCATATGTTGTTATCTCTAAATGAATGTGGTATATCATTATACAAAACACTCGCATATGAAATCGAAAGTCACATAATTATAATGTTCTATGGAACTAAATCAATTAGGATTGTTGTGTACCTATATTTTTTTATGTATAACATATGTTTTATATGATTATATATGTATTATATATATATATATATATATATATATATATATATATAAAATAAAAACATGCTAAAATATTAAATATTAATAATATCTTAATTATAATTATCTAAATCAAAATAAACTTAATATCTTTTTCTTTTATTTTAAACAATAATAAAAATATCTTAAGACGTAAATTAAATAAAAGATAATAAAGTAATATTGTCAACATTTCTCCTTAATTTAATATTTGTTTATTTGAATTTATATATTTCTTTTTATTTTGCTTAAATTAATATTTGCTTAAAATTCTTCCTTTTTTTTCTTGTAAGTCTTGTCATCCTTCTTTTTATATTAGATTACATCTTCATTTAATTTTATTTTCTTCATCAATATATTTCTTCCCTTGTCAACTTCATGGTAGTACAGTTGAACCTTTGATAATTACTTGGAAGTTGATTTTTCGTCTAAATCTTTATTCTCCTCCTTGACATCAAGTTTTTTTAAGAAATGTTCATCATATTTTTTTCTTTGACTTTTTTTTATATCTTCATTTGTAGTCAAATCCTCTTTCATCAAATTCTATTTCTAATATCTTCATCTAAATTTTTTTCCTTTTATGTGAACTTTCAATATTGCTAAGTTATTTGCATCTTTGATCATATAAAATTTACGTTCAAAAATATCTTATAACTCTTTCTCAATAATTGAGCAACATTTAACAAATTTTGATTAATATTAGAAATATATAAAATATAAAAAATTAATTTGACACCTGAGTAACTTTTAATTATAATTATTCATGTATCTTTCACATTTATTTGTTTCTGCATTGTTATTTCTAATTTAGAAATAAAAGATTCATTGAATTTTTTGAAAAGATTGAGTCATTGTTGTAAGAAGAAATTTTTCTTTTATTCCATCCTCTACCAATATTTACTGTGTAAGTAATTATTTTCTTAAAACATGGACAGACGACACGTGATTTATTATTTTTTTAACTTGGAGAAAACCTTTAACAAGTAACAATAATAAAATAAGGCTTAATTGAAGAATTATTAAAGTTTTTTTTTACTTATGTTGGAGGAGATCATCTACCCATAGTATTAGATTAAATAATCTCTTGAATTATTTATACCTCAATATTCCTTAAAGTATCATCATCTTTAAACTAAGATGTTAATTGTCAAAATTGTCTTCTCTAATTCAATATATTAATAAGACATGTCATATACATATTAATAAGATTTGTACTTATGATTATTTTATAACTACGTATATGTTTAAAAATTAGTAACTTACACATCACGAACTATTTCTTTGAGTATAAAAACTACTAATGATATAATAATCCATATTAGTCATACAACTTGAACAGTTTTTAAACTTGAAAAGAAAAAAGAAAAACCTAAAATCATCGATCTGTACTTAAAAGGAGACTATGAGGAAAATTGTTTACAAGATTGTATAATTGTTTAGAATAAATTAGAGATACTAAAAAAACATATTCTAAAACTCATATTTTTAAGAATTTTTTTAACCAATTCTTACCAAGTTTAAAAAAAATAAGATTTAAATAATAATTATAGATATTCTAAAGTTAAGAAACTAAAATAATGAAGAAAAAAAAAACACAAATACAAAATCTAGAAACGAAAAAATTATAATCTTAATGAGAGAAGAAAGTAGTGGGATTTCTTGCTGTTTCATAACTACGTAAAATAATATTAATGACATTGAAATCTGAGGTACCATGATACTAAATTTCAAAATGTTATTGCGAACCAAGAAACGTGCTTACAACAATGAAAACACTCTTTATTCTCCAATGGATATGCTTGCGTAAAAATCTCCATAATCGGAAGAAAACAATTAAAATTAGTTTATATATAAAATAGAAATAAAATATTAAAAATTTCTAAAAATTAATTTATGGATAAATTAACTTAAACATCGATCGTAGATTATGAAGTATCATGGTTGAACCTGATTTAAAAAAATATATTAAATTATTATATTTAAAATTTAAATTAATTTTGTTTATGAAACTTAAATTAAAAAAATATAAGTATTTTATTTAATTTTAATTTTTTTAAAATGTTAAAATTTAAATTGAGAATAATTTTTTTCAATTAAAACTTTTTGTAAATTCGTTATCTTCATTCTTTATTTTCTTCAAATGGTTTTAACTAGTGACTTATATTTAATTGTTAAATTATGAGAGAATAAACGGTGAGAATAGAGAATAATTGTTTGTGTTAGTGTTATTAAAATCAAATTTTTATCGCATAAATCAACCACCAATTAATAATATTATATAAAATTTGTTTGGTAATGTATATAAAAGGTATTTTAAAATGTAAATTAATATTTCATAAAATAAAAAGAATTCTCCATGAATAAAAAATAATTATTTGAAATATTGTAGTAATTAAATTCAAAGAAAACTATTTTTAAAAACATATCAAAATTCATTCATTTTACAGATTAAAATTATTTTTTAAAGTTTTGATAGAGGAAACATGAAGATTATTTTTTGATAAGATCAAAATCAAAACATATTTATTTGTAAAAACTAAACCCATGATTAAAATATAAATTTTTAATTAATAGTAAACAAATTATAAAATGATATAAAAAATCGTATAATAAATTTGTTTGCATATATATGTAATCATAAAGGGTAGAGTATTTTTTTTTCAAATAGTATTTCTTAATTTTTGTCTCTTTGTGTGGCTCTCTTTCCAAATTGAAAGGAAAAATTGGAACATATTTTGACGTAGAGCCATCACTTTTCTTTTCTCTCATTCCATTTTTTTTAATGGGTGTATTATTTCCTTTGTTTTTCATTTTCATATACATCAAATCAAACGGTTTATTAAAAATAGAAAATTTGAGGCAGACACTATCTATTAAGGGATGATGGGTGGTACAAGGTATTGTTGTTGCTCTCATGACTGCCAAAGCAAATAAATTGTCACACAACAAGACAACATTATCGACGTGTAGCATGTTAACATCAATTAATTATCGTGTTTGTTTGTAGTATTTTGACCAAGCAAGATTCTTATATAGCATATTATCGTATATCAGATATTATATATATTTTTCCATGTACCATTCTATGTAATCTTTGACTTCGTAAATATTAAAGAATTTTATTAGAGTACACCTACCAAATAAAAAACAAAAGGTAGAACCAATAATTCCAACTCTCACCAGACAAGAACATCATGAGGATGTTTGTTCATCGGGTGCTGAAACAAGCCAAGCCATCTGTCTTTTCTCTAATCACTTTCTCTGCCATAGTTTTTCTCATATATGCAGATACTATTAGTATTATCTACCATGATTCCCTATACTCTGCAGCTAAAACAGAAGCTCCAGAGAAGTTGGAACTTTACAATCATAGAACAATAGAAGCAATAAGGTCAACACTTGTTCAAATACCTTTTCGTTCCATTCAAGAGAAGGATGAAGCTGAGAGGCGAAACCATTATAGTCTGGTTGCCCCATTCAATGCCACAGAAGAAGAAAGAATAGCTTGGTTTCGAGAACATCTGCATCACTTCAAGATCCTCAAGTCAAACAACTTGACCCGACAGTTTCATGCTCGAGTTGTGAAATTTTTTGGCCACAAATGCAAGGCTAAATTTTTCATGACTTGGATTTCACCAGCAAGTTTGTTTGGAGGGAGAGAATTGCTGTCTGTGGAAAGCATTTTCAAGAACCATCCCAAGGCATGTCTGTTAATTCTATCAAGAACTTTGGACACCAGACATGGCTACAGGATCCTGAAACCGCTGCATGATCGCAGGTTCAAAGTGCAAGCAATGGCCCCAGACTTGTCATTTTTGGTCAAGAAGACCCCAGCGGAATCTTGGTTTCATGAGCTAAAGAAGGGTAGAAAGGATCCTGGTGAGATTCCGTTATCTCAGAATCTATCTAATCTGATAAGACTTGCAGTTCTCTACAAATATGGCGGTATATACATAGATACAGATTTTATAATTATGAAACCCTTAACAGGGCTAAGGAATTGTATTGGTGCACAGAGCATGAGTTTGGGTTCTAAGCATTGGACCAGATTAAATAATGCAGTTCTGATTTTTGATATGAGACATCCACTTCTGCATAAATTCATCAGTGAATTTGCATTGACTTTTGATGGAAACAAATGGGGGCATAACGGTCCCTACCTGGTTTCAAGAGTGATTGAGAGACTGAGGAAAAGACATGATTTCAACTTTACAATCTTGCCTCCTGTGGCGTTTTATCCAGTAGACTGGAACAAGATAACTGGGTTTTTTACAAAACCAAAAACACTAAGCGAATCAAGATGGGTAGAAGCCAAACTGCTTCAGCTCAGAGGGAAGAACACTTATGGGATTCATTTATGGAACAAACGTAGTAGCAGATTGACAATTGAAGAAGGAAGTGTCATTGGAAGACTTATATCAAATTATAGTGTCATTTGCAAACATTAGTTCCCTTCTTAGGTAAATAGTTGTTGACATGAAAAAGGTGAAGATTTCATCAATAAGGGAAGTCATGTTAACCTGTTAAAGAGTAAGTAAAAGAAATTTTCTTCTATATACCTATTTTTCATTTATTGTTCCAACTGTACAGGATAAATTTTGTAGTCAATCACAAATAAATCAGAGAATAAAGGATCTGGCTTCCAGTATTCCATGACAACGAATTTCTACGCATATCTTTCAATGAAAACACCCTAAACTCCAACACTAAATGCAATTTAACACAATTTTCTTACACTGATTGCAACCACAATGCAAATAAACCACAAATCAGTCTAAACCTTGGGTAGCATTTGTACATCTTTTACAAAATAAATCTGGCACGAAAACTTTTTTTTCTAGTCAGTTTGAGTAACTTACTTATTTTTACAATCTAAATGACAATTTCCAGTCGACATATCTTCCCTATGAGACTAACCCATTCAAACATTTTCTCTATCAGTTCTTCGCAAACTTGTGGATTGAATTGGTTTGATTACTGCCTAAGGATCCTGGAATTCATATTCTGAATATTTTTCCTACAGAGATATGGGATTAATTATAGTTGAGCCACTATAATACTCAATGGTTTGCAAAGCTAGTATCCTCCATTCCAAATAATCTCGTAACCTATGTGTTTTCTCGTTACCTCAATAGAAACAAACTTTTACTTTATAAGATGAGGGAAAGATTCACAGGAAACAGCCCAAGATAACAAAGCATACATACAAGTAACTTCTGGTGCTTTATAGTCTGCGTGATCTGTTCCTTTGATCTTCAAAAGCGATAAACCAGAAGATATCTACATCTCTTTCCTTAGTGGATTTAATATGGTATGTGCATAGTATTTCAAGTATAATGCAAATAAAACTGAAAGGTTTCTTTAAACAGACAAAGTTAAGAAGGCCAACACCACTAGGAATGAATGAAATGAATGCGCTTATCTTTTGGAGCTAACATACAAAAACACTATCAATCCGATGTTCCTAGTTGAACAAAGAAGAATTACAGTATAAATGCAGAATGTACATTCTGGTGCCAAGGTTTAATCTGGTAACGTAGAACTTTTTCAGTGTTTATGGACAAGCCCATAGATAGTACTTCCCTTTTCCCATATCTCTTTCTGCTAACATCCAATACTTTCACATAGGTAGAAACCATTGCTCAGTAATCAATGAACGGATACAAAAAGTCCAGTAAAGCACAAATCCTAAGGAAAAAAAACCCTCTATTTTTATATTTTTAAAATTATAATTTATAAGTCTTTTCAATACCCATGTCCAAAACTATAAAACAAGACCATTCATAAATAGTGCAGTAAAGCAAGAGAAATAAAAGAATTACCTCAATTAAGGACAATATAAATAAATAAAAAATTGATGTAACATTACCCAAATCCAAATTGTGTATGTCACAATGGAATCATATATCAACAACTAAACCATGAAAGACCCAAAATTACAATTCACCAACAAAATCAACCAGAAAAGAGGGACTCATCAATTTCAATCTTCACCACTTCATTATCTTCGAACCTGTCTTTCTTGGAAGGTGCCGGTGGAGCATAAATCCTCGGTGGCCCTCTACCCTTCTTCTTGTCCTTAGGCCTCGCCTAAGAATGACCCCCGATCCCATTCACAATATTAGAACCAAGAAAAAGAAAACATTAAAACTAAAAGTAAAAAATAGATTGAATAGAGAGAAAATGGGAGTAGAAGTTTACATTCCCAAACGAATGGGCGAAGCGCTTTCCCTTTGCAGTTTTCCTGTCCCCTCTGCCACAGTACACTAGGAGAAAGTAAAAGAAGTAAAATTGATAAATGGGGAGTTAGAATTCGTGCATAATAAAGCAAAATTGTTGAAAAATTCGAATTTTTTTTTTTTATAGTGTTTATTGTTGTAGAAAGTACCAGAAGGGGTTGGGGAGAGAGTGGAGGTTGCAGAGGCTGAGAGGGAAGGAAAGGGAGTGGAGAGAGGTGAGGAGAGAGTTTGGGAGTGAGAGAAGGAAAGGCGAGAGGTGGAAGAGTGCAATTGAGTGGAGAGTGGAGGAGGTGATGCTAGCAGTAGTGAGGCCATGGCTTAGGATAACCCGAGATAAGGTTTGCAAAAGAGGATAAAAATGGTGCACTGGGGTAGCTTCTATTGTGAAATTGTAAGTGGTTTAGAAAAAAAAAAAAAGTTTAGGGGGTAAAGTAGACTATTTAATTTTATGTTTTTAATAGAACAAAGAATCTTTAGTACCTGTTTTAATATTAATAAATATAATTTATTTTTATGATATAATATTTTAATAAAAAATCTTTAAGATTTAGGTATTATATATAATATAAGGTTATCAAACCATTGTAGAAAAAATATTAGTCAAAATATAATTACTTATAAATAATAAATTATCTAATAAATTAGGAAGATTGATTTTAACATATTCTAAAGTCAAATATATTATTATAAATCAATTAATATGTTCTGATTAAAAAAAAGATAATTTAGAGTATAAATTTGATTAAGTTAGAATCAAATATTCTATTATTATTGAAAAAAATATAATGATTGCCAATAAAAATTTAAATCTATATAAGATTGTGTTATGGACCTTGAGAGGAGACAAAATAGCCTATGAGTAGTCCAATGGTGAAGAGCAAAACCAAACATCATATAATCAGACTGAAACACCTTGATGACTATAATTGTAATGTTAAGGTAGAATTAAGTAATTGTATGGTCCTTAATTAGGGAAAAAGGGACATAGTAGTAATTTCTCATGTTATTAGTACGTTTTATGGATTGCTTTGTCTATTCCATACGTGTCCTCTTAGATTGTTACATACTTCCTCCTATATGTATGTAAGTTTGCAGGGAATAAAGGTAGAGAAGATTATCAATCATTTTTTATGTCTTTTGGAGGAAGCCTAACATGTAATATAGGCATTGCAATTTTGTGCTTTCGTTAAGAGAATGTCTTCGTCAAAAAACAATGATAAAATGGACTCCATTCTTTAGCTGTTGGAAAACCAGAGAGCTTTCCAGGAAAAGATGACAATTCATATGGCTAATTTGGAAGCACAAGTGGTGGGTCATAATGGAGCCGGAGGAAATGCAACAAACAACTTTACCCTTCAACCATTTACTCGCACATCTATGAAGTTGGACATGCCCCGATTTAATGGGTCAGAACCATTAGCTTGGATTTTCAAAATCAAGCAATTTTTTGATTACCATCAGACTCCAGAAGATCAAAGACTACAAATGGCTTCTTTCCCTATGGAAGGAGAAGCCCTTACTTGGTTCCAATGGATGCATGACAACCACTTAATCTCGACTTGGCAGAATTTCCTCCACGCCCTAGAGGTTCGTTTGCACTGTCATATTATGAGGATTCAAGAGGAGCGTTGTTCAAGCTCTGCCAAACCTCGACTGTTCGCGCATATCAGAACGAGTTTGAATCACTAGCTAATCGAATTGTGGGTTTACCTGCTCCATTCTTCCTTAATTGCTTTGTTTCAGGCCTCAAACCTGAAATTAGAAGAGAGGTGTAAGCATTCCAGTCGCAAGCCATAAGTTTAGCGAAATTGCAAGAGGAAAAGTTCGCAAAAGCTTCAACGACAAATCGTTCTAACCATATTTTTCTTCCCACCACGAATTCCACGACACTCATCAACTCCTAACAAACAAATTCAAGTTCCAACGAAGCAAACTCTTCTTCCCTCAAACCCAAATTGAACCCTAACCCTTTCGTCATTAAACGATTATCCCCTGCTGAACTCCAAAGTCATCGCGATAATAACTTATGTTACTATTGCGATGAACGATATTGCCCTGGTCACAAGTGCAAACGTGAGTTCATGTTGTTGATATCCGAACCGACCGACTCAAACATTGATGAGATTGACTTGACCCAGTTTCTCCAAATATATGACCTGACACCTAATGACCCGTCCGAACCTCCTGATATAGCCTCAGCCCAAATCAGTTTACACGCCTTATTGGGCCACTCCATTCCTCAAACTCTCAGTTTTTGGTCATGTAAATACGACCCCTGTTGCGATCTTAATAGATAGTGGGAGCACCCACAATTTTATACAAAGCTCGTATAGCCAAATTTGTTGGCCTTCAAGTTACTCCAACTCAAGGGTTTCATGTTTTGGTAGGCAATGGAGAGGAGCTTTCCTGTTCATCAATGTGTAATCAGGTGCCATTACAATTGGGCTCACAAACATTTTTTGTTGACCTATTTGTGTTACCTTTGAGTGGTGCAAAGCTGGTGTTGGGTGTACAGTGGTTGACGATGTTAGAATCGGTGTTAACTGATTACGACAAATTGACAATGAAGTTCATTAGAGAAGGGAAATTGATTGAACTTAAAGGCCAACCCCGCACAACACCTCAAGAGGCCACTATACATCAGATCAAAAGGATGATTTATACTGATGGTATAGCAGAATTTTTTCAACTACACTGCTTCCTCCATCAATAGAGCTTCAAAAACCCTCCCTGCTACCCGAGATTGAGAACTTGTTAAAAAAATATCCTCAATTGTTTGAGGAACCACGTGGGCTTCCTCCAACATGAGTAACTGATCATCGTCTTCCTCTCTTGGAAGGGTCAAATCCTGTGAACGTCAAGCCTTATAAATACCTATATTTTCAAAAACACGAGATTGAGTGTCAAATCAAGGATATGATGTCAGAAGGAATTATCCAGCGAAGCAACAATGTATTTTCATCACCTGTGTTGCTAGTTCGAAAGAAAGACGGGCCATGAAGGTTTTGTGTTGACTATAGAGCACTAAACGCGATTACAGTCAAAGATCGATTTCCCATTCCATCGATTGAAGAACTGTTGGACGAATTTCATGGGACACAATGGTTTTCAAAGCTCGATCTTTGCTCTGGCTATCACCAAATCCGAATGAACAGTGGTGATATTTTAAAAACTGCTTTTCGCACCCATGAGGGGCATTATGAATTTCTGGTAATGCCCTTTGGATTGTGTAATGCCCCCGCTTCATTTGAGTTAATTATGAATATGTTATGTCAACTGTATCTGCGTGATTTTGTTATAGTCTTCTTTGATGACATACTAGTGTATAACAAGTCATTAAAAGATCACATCCTTCATATGGATACTATTTTCCAATGTCTTGTGACTAATCAATTTTTCCTTAAAAGGAACAAATGCTTGTTTGCGCATGAATCAATAGAATACTTGGGCCACATAATATCCAGGAGTGGTGTTAGTCCCGATCCAGAGAAAATTCGGGCTATGATTGATTGGCCAACACCTACCACTCTTAACCAATTGCGGGGATTCTTGGGGCTGACTAGATTTTACCGAAAATTTGTTCAACATTATGCTTCTATAGATGCTCCCATCACTAATTTGCTAAAGAAAGACTCATTTGTGTGGTCTGAAGCAACACAACAATCATTTGAACAATTGAAGAAGGCTATGACTCAAACCTCTGTATTGGCATTACTCAATTTTCAAGAAGACTTTTTCATAGAAATTGATGCTTCCGGGCAAGGAATGAGGACAATTTTGAAGCAGAATAACCACCCAATTTGTTATTTTAGCAAGAAGTTCTGCCCGAAAGTCCTGTCAGCTTCTACTTATGTTAGGGAGTTACATGTCATCATTGCTGCAGTTAAGAAATGATGCACTTACCTCTTGGGTAGAAAATTTATTATTCATACAGATCAACGAAGCCTTCGTGAGTTGATGACACAAGTGGTACAAACACCAAAACAACAATATTACTTGTCAAAGTTACTCGGGTACACTTATGAAATTGTGTATGAACCAGGAGCAATTAACCGAGTAACTGATGCTTTAAGCAGGGTACATGAAAAATCATCACAAATGATGGGGTTGACAGTGTCACAATGTGATTTAGTAGCGAAAATTCAAGAGACTTATGGGTCGGATTCAGTGCTTAAACAATTGTATCAAGGTGTGCTTCGCTGCCCAAAAGAGCATCCTGGATTTAAAATTGTTAAAGGGATTCTTCTTTATCATGATAAGATTTATATCTCTGACCAATCTCCTCTTAAGCAAGTCCTCTTAGAGGAATTCCATGCCACACCAATGGCTGGCCATGCTGGAATACATAAAACTTATGGGCGATTGAGTGACAACTTCATTTGGAAAGGAATGAAAAAAGATGTGGAAAAATTTGTTAAAAACTGTGTTGTGTGTCAGCAAACCAAGTCCCCTACACAACTACCATATGGGTTACTACAACCAATTTCTTCCCCTTCTGCATTTTGGGAAGATATATCACTTTCTTTTATTACAGGACTCCCTTCTTTCCAAAATTATTATGTTATTTTAGTAGTTGTTGACAGGTTTTCAAAGGCATCTCATTTTGGCATGCTTCCGACCAATTTCTCAGCTACTAAAGTTGCTGAAGTATTTGCTTTTATGGTTTGTAAGTTACATGGCATGCCTAAGAGTATAATTTCTGATAGGGACCCTATCTTTATGAGTAATTTTTGGCAAGAGCTTTTCCGAATGAATGGCACAAAGTTGAGAATGTCTTCTACTTATCACCCCTAGAGTGATGGCCAAACAGAAGCAGTTAACAAGATGTTGGAGCAATATCTGAGAGCTTTTGTCCATGTTGAACCAAAATTGTGGGGAAAATATTTGCATTGGGTTGAGTGGCACTACAATTCAGCAAAGCACTCTTCTACTGGAGTTACTCCTTATGAGATTGTTTATAGTCAGCCCCAATATGCTGACTGTAAGCTACTTGATAAGAAACGCTTGTGACAGGATCAAGTCTAACGAGGTTGTGAATTCAAATCTCTCAAAAAGACAAGAGCTACTTGATAAGCTTCGCTCCAAGTTACTCAAGGCACAATCTACCATGAAACATTATGCTGATAAGAAACGCTTGTCTCACCCCTTCAAAGTCGGTGATCATGTCTTAGTTAAGTTGCGACCATACAGACAAGTGACAACAAGGAACACTAAAATTTCTAAGTTGGCTAACGTTTTTATGGGCCTTTCTGCATTGTCAAACAAATTGGGGAAGTGGCTTTCCAATTATAATTACCTCCGAGAGCGCAAATTCATCCTACTTTTCATGTTTCTAAGTTGAAGCCATTCCATAATGAAGAAAAGACGCCAAACTTGGAACTACCGCCATCAACCTTCAATAATCAACTAAAGTTGCAACCCCTAATAGTGCTTGATTGGTGTACATCTGCTGATTCTGGTGTAAAAGAAGCATTGGTCCAATGGAAAGGAATGTACCCCGAAGATACAACTTGGGAGGAACTTGACACATTGCTTGAAGATTATCCAACATTGCACCTTGAGGACAAGGTGTTTGTTGAAGGAGAAGGGGATGTGATGGACCATGAGGAGGAGACAGAACAACCCATGAGCAGTCCAATGGTGAAGAGCAAAACCAAACGTCACATAATCAGGCCAAAACACCTTGACGACTATGATTGTATTGTTAAGGGTAGAATTAAGTAATTGTATGGTCCTTAATTGGGGGAAAAAGGGCATAGTAGTAATTCCTCATGTTGTTAATACATTTTATGGATTGCTTTGTCTATTTTATACAGTGTCCTCTTAGGCCGTTACATACTTCCTCCTATATGTATACAAGTTTGCAGGGAATAAAGGCAGAGAAGATTATCAGTCATTTTTTATGTCTTTTGGAGGAAGCCTAACCTGTAATATAGGCATTGCAGATCGATACATAATATTACAATAACTATTTTTCATAATTATCTATAAAAAGATGGTGCTCACACATAAAAGTTAAGAAATAAATTTTCGTAAATATTATAACCTACATACTCATAAATTTTTGCATGAATTTTTATCAAAACATTAATTAATTTATAGAACAAAAGTGTTAGAGACATCTTGATATTTTTATCATTTCTTAAGAAAGCTAAAATTATCATTTTAAGAACTTAATTATATATTTTTTTAAAGTTATTTTATATACTTCATTCAATTTTTTGCTTGTAGATAAAAGTGACATATTCGCAATACTTGTAATAGCCATATCTCACGTAGTGCAAAAGAATATTTTTATTCTTGTCTTAGAAGACATAAAAAAGGTTCATATTGTTTACTTGTTTAAGTTTGAAGTGATGTTGAAATATATAATAAATTTAATGTTATGAAAATTGAGAAAGATATGGGTTAAAGATTTAAAAATTTAAGTCAAATTTATAAAATAATGTTTTATAATATAATAATTTTATAATAATAATAACAATTTGTATAAAAAATAATATAAATTTATTATTGTATTTATTGTAAATTTTAATTAAGATTACAAATACAAAATATATCCTAAAAATATATATATATATATATATATATATATATATATATATATATATATATATATTTAAATTTAAGACTAATTTTCTAAAATGAAACTTTTGATAAATACTCACTTGAAAACATACACTTTTTCCTAAAAGCATCTAACTTATCAATACAAAGTTAAGTAGATGATAATTTGTCTGTTATATTACTAGAAAATATCACCATGATATAAATCTCATTTGGTTAAGGGTTGATTTAGTATTTTTAAGATTAAAACCTTACAAAAAATTTGAAAAATTAGTGAAAAAGTGGATTAGAAAGTGATAAAAATTGTAGGGTTGGACAAAATTTTAAAAATGTTGATATATCGAGTTATAAAACTCCGATTGAGATGATTAAAAAATGAGGTGAAAGTTCTCGTTTTAAATTTTAGTTTAGGCTAAAAAAGTATTCAATTTAGACAAATAGAACGAAAGTCATGACCATAAAATAAATTTGGGCAGAATTGAGTCTTCTGGATTCTAGCGAAGAAAGAATATGTGAAAGATCAATGAAAAAATCACTCTTCCCAAGAGGCAATTCATAAAGGATGTGAAATTCTTTTAATACAGCCAAGAGTTCTTGAATCACTTAAGAACTTAGGAGAATCACTCTCACTAAGATAAAAAAAAGCTAAAATCTAATATTTCTGAATAAAACTCAAATTATATTCTTGATAAAAATGGTTCAATTTATATAGAAGTTTTACCATCAAGAATTATAAAAAGTTAATAAAGAAAAATAAATGCTAATAATGATCCATTAACTTAGAAATAAAAACTACTTAATGGTTGATTGTAACCGAAAATTATGACAATCAAAATTCACTAAAAAAATCAACATACCTTCTTGGTCACCAATTAATTGATTAATGGACCCTTGTTACTACTTAAAATAAAACCAAACTAAAGTCCATTAATTGATTAACCCTCAATATATTTTGGTCAACAATTTTACAAAGAATTGAACCATTATTTAAACAAACTAATCACTTAAAAACTGAAATAAAGTGATTCATTAGTTCTCTCTACCATTTGAGTCATGATGCAATTCACAACCAAACCATTTGAGTCATGATGCAATTCACAACTTTGGTCTTTTCTTCTTGAAATGTGGGTTTGTATTCAAATAATATAGACAACACTTATTAAAAAGCTTCATTTATTTTCTTTACTTTAGTCCTTGTCATAGGTCCTCCAAGTAGATCATTGTCCTTGCCCATGATCATGTCCCGCAAACTAAACTTATCATGCAAAAGTTAAAAGCAGTAGTTCATCCCAACTTTCTGAGTAGCAGTCTTGCATATGTACAATACGGTATAACTCATTCTATAGAGATAATACTTTGTTACCTCAAGCAAGCACATAATAATATGCTTTAATTGACTTCTCCACTGAATACAGATAATAGTCTCCTTTCATGAATCCAAGTCAAAACTCAAAATATTGTTTAAAAGTAATAAATAAATAAAAAAAAACCTTAAAGCATACATATTATAATATAATACTGTGGAGATTGCAATAAGATTCTCAGTTGAAACTCCCATAATGTCACTGCACATGTTGGATAGCAAATAGCTCCAACTCCACCTTGTGTCTGTGAGCCCTGATATGCTTAACATTCAACTCTTTTCCTTATAAGGATGAGATATTTTTAGCAATTAAAGCCAAGGAGGGACCCCTGCATACACATTCCACTCAAAGTGTAGGGTAATGATCACATGTATGGTTATAAACTAATTGTGTCAAGAACTCTACTTTTGTGGCTTCCGTAATGATCACATCCATTAGTAGCCTAATCAGATACCTCCCATGTGGTTGCATACAAAGTCATTGGTTTAGAGGGGAAATCTACTCCCACAGATTCTGTTCATGTGAATTCTCTGATAAGAATATTATCTACATAAAATTTGCACATGGATAATAAAGAATACAAAATTATAAAAGTAAGCAGCAGCTGATATTAAAATGTAGAAATTAACATGGTTGAACAAGAACAAAAACATACATAATAATTTCTTCATCTCTCCCACATGTTACACAAAGAACAAATGAGCCTCCATGTAGTAACTATAGTTGGTAGTTACTAAGGAAAGCAATCAAAGAATATGATTTTATTCATTCTCAGTAAGTAACCAAAGCATAAGATATAATACGGATGTAATTAGTAAATAAAACCAGAGATTTAGTGAATGGAACATGAAAACTAGAGAAAATCTTCTTTGATTTGGCATGCCTGTTTTCTTATTACACTTTCTCTCACTTTCTTGCTCTGTGAAAGAGTGGATCCAAACCCTTCCTTGACTGGCTGCATGAAAATAATCACAATAAGCCAAAGCCATTGCTCCTAGAACAAATCAAGATTTGGATTTATTCATTTGGTAAACACCAATACATGGTTCCACTTTTCACCTGATTCCACGTTTAGAATCTAGTTGAAATTACAAACACTAATTAGGTTTTGAGCGGGATGAATAATAGGTCTGCATAATTGTGAGAACAAGGAGTGCAACAGCTGCTAACACTCCTATGAATTTCCACACCGTGGGGATGTGATCACGTCTCAAAATTCTGTACCAGTTTCCCCAGTAGTAAACAATGGTCTCACAAACCCCTCTGCATCCATGCCAAGTGACAATTGGAAATTCTTGCAATGCAGTTCTGACATTATTCTCCCGGTACTCGTTCAATCTATGACAAATGTCCTCATAACTTGAATCCATGTACTCAGCCCCATTAGGAATCGTCCGAAACAGATCCAACAATTCTTCCTTGCTCTTCCTAGCCTTATTCACTATAACCCTTTTCCCCTCTAGCAGCTCAATGTCATGCTTGCAACAAACCAACCCTTGGAAGAACAATGCATACGAAGTGTACTTACATCTGATCCAAATTCTGCTCTGCTCCCACGCAATCAAGTTCCTCCACCTCACTTCTGTTGTTTCCTTCACACACAGTCGTGGAATTCTGAGCACACTGTCTGTCAAACTAATGTCAAAGTTGAACCAATCCAACAACTCATGGCGATGAGTGATGTCTCCAGATTCAATTGTTATTCCAGCAGCGTGAAGCCTTGTTGCGCAGCGCAGAAGCTCTCGCTTCACGCGTTTACCCTCTTGCTGAGTCTGTTCCACTGTGGACAAGTGCATCAAGTGAAGAACGTGGACGCCACCAGGGCTATCCACCTCAGAGTAACCAAAAGCTTTTCGAACAATATTAGCAACGCGGTGATCATTGTTGATGTCACTGCCATCAGGAAAGACCTTCCTGAACAACTTCTTGAGAACAATGAAGGGAACTTGGTTCTCAAGCATTGTGATGTCATTTATAACAGACACCATCTTCTCTTGGTTCTGCAATATGGGGTCATTTGGGTTGCTACCATTGTTACTGTTATTACGTATAAAATCACCAAGTTTCATAAGGAGCTCCAACAGAAAACACCCATCTACTATCATTATCTTAGCTAACTCATGAGGTTCTGATTCGATGTTACCTCCGTAGCTTGCGATGATTAGTTTGTCCAACTTGAGGATGTCGTTGCCGCAGTCTCTGAGTCTTTGTTCTGATCTTCTGTTTTGTGCCTGCGTTCCTCTTCTGTCAAGAAATTCGCGCATGTAACGCCACTTGGTCTCTTCCATTATTTGGAGGTGTCTGGTGGTTCCTCTGTGTAAGGGTCCTATGGAGACCTCTTTTGGCTTGAAAGCTGCTTCGTTTGGGCCTCGAAGCCCCTCTGTAACTCTTGAGATGCTGCATGCTTGGACTTGGCCGTGAAAGAGGGCACCCAGCATGACTTCAATGGGAACCATCCAACTGACGTCGGGTTGTGCCATCCTAAATTGAAGTGACACAATGGGGAAACTTTGAGGTTCAGAGAGGGAGAGAGAACTGGTAAAGGAAATAAGTGCAGAAACTAATGATCCGGTGGAGCTTTATGGATGTGATTGTGAAAGCTCTTAGTAAACGATGGGAAAAAAAATTCGAACTTTCTCTGCAACTTCTTGGCAGAGATGTGGAAATGATTGGAAGCATGACGGCTGTTTTTTAATGGATACGGTTGACTCCATGTGTGTGAACTACTTGGTCGGTTTTCGAGTCTACTTTCCAATTCGTATCTTAATTTTTATTTTCAAGGCTACAAAAAAATTCACTGTAATATATCTGATAGCTTCCCCCACATAAAAGGGATACTGAATCAGTGATTCTGGATATTTTTTTTCAGTTATTTTGAAAATCAGACCGATCAGGCTGATTAACCAGATTAAAAATAATTGATTATTTTTAAATAATAAGATTTTAATTAAATTAAGATAAAATTAGTTGAATTTTTAAAACGAACTATTTTTGATAAAAAAAAATAAGATTCAATTTTTTAAATATAATTTTTTATAAAAATATAATATATTTTAATTTTTTTATCTTAATTAGGATAATAGTTATTTTATAACATTTTTATTTTATTTTAATAATTATTTATCTTTAATTTTTTTAATATATTTTATATTTATAATTTTTATTATAATATATGGTAAGTCAATAATTTTTATAAGTTTTTTTTATAAAAATATTATTTATAATATTATAAAAATATTATTTTATTAAATTCGATTAGAATTTAATTAAATTTTTAAATTTATGTGTACATTTTTTTATCGATCTAATTTTAAAAACATTAATTTTTATCATTTTTTTTATTATGGTTATATTTTTTTACTTTTAAAGAATTTCTATTTTTAAAGTATTTAATATTTTTATTGATTCATTACATCTTTTAAATCATGATCTTCGCATTTGTAGAAACAAGAACTAAGAACATGATTAAACAAATTTCTCATTAGATTAAAAAAAGAAGAAGGGGGTTTCATGGAAGTAAAATTAGTTTATATATAAGATAATTTAAGAAACTCTATCATATTATTTTAATATAAATTAATAATTAAATCTCAAACAATAATAACTTTCTCTTTACGGCTCAAGACATTGTGGACTTTATCTTGTTTTTACTCTGCTCAAGTAGTTCCTTTCCTTTCTTGGATAGCACTTCTGCCTGAAGCATCAAAAGGACGCCTTTATGTGCCATTTGCCCCGCCATCTCAATCTCAGGATTTGATTTTTTCAAAAATTTCAGAAGAATTACAGCATCAGCTATTTCATTTGCCTCGTTAATTGACAACATTTCAAGTTTCTCAGAAAGACATTTCAACCGTTTCTCTATGTTCTTCACATCGGCTTTTACCTCACTGTATATCTCACCGATTTTTGGTAGCGTCGACACTTTCTCTGCAGCATTAAGTCTCAATGGCTTCATGTCAATCCCATCTTCTTCCCATATTTCCTCATCTATATGGTTCAATATCAAAATTATCATAAAGAACTAGATATCTTAAATATAAAAGATTGAATGTATATAATTCATCGTCTCTTTAATGTCCCGTTAAGCATAACACTCACCCGATAGCAGTAGCGTTACCATTGTTTGGCTGTAACTTCTATTTTGCAGTGGACTGTGCTTCCGCTGCAGTGGCGTTTCAGGGCTTTTTCTATGTGATGGAGTTTTAGTTCTTGGTGATTTTCTCCTTTCTTTTCTTGAGTGTGAACTACTTGCTCCTGGTGATTTTTTCCTTTCTCTACTCGAGTGTGAACTACTGGCTCTGGGTGATTTTCTCCTTTCTCTTCTCGAGTGTGAACTACTGGCTCTGGGTGATTTTCTGCTTTCTTTTCCAGAGTATGAACTACTCTTACTCCGGGATCTACTTGGAGATCAAGATGAGTATTCAATAATTCTAAAAAAAAGTCTTTAAAATTGCACAAAATGTAGATTATAGAGGAGAAACTAGTGAGCATAGCTAACGTTATGTGTCAGACACGATGTTAGAATTCAGCCTAGCTAACATTCGGATGGACACTGGTTCGGAAACCCAGTTGTTCATAAAATATTACCCTAAAATCACATGGTGTCTGAATTGTATAGAACGAGGAACAGGTTATGCAGTGACACTGAACACAAAAAATGTAATCAAGCTCAAAAAACAGTAACTTGAAAATTCTATAACCCTGACCTGCGGGTAGGTGAAGGTGTCTTTGTTCTTTTCTCGGTTCTTTCATCAGGAACACTAATACTAGTCAAGATACAATCGTCGACAGTGGCATGAAAAGACCTAATTTTTCTGCACAGCGATCCAGAGGCAGAGGTTATATCGGTATATTGCCTTTGTAAAATTAACGTGTGATGGGAAGTTGAGCAATATATACCGTAATACATCATGGATGGATTAGGTTAAAAAAACTGAAAAAATGATTGAAATAATACGTTGTTTGTTCGTGACTTCCATTTCTATTTCGTGACGAACTGCGTCTATTCTGCGATTGGCGTTCAGTGCTTTTTCTACGTGGCCATGGACTGTCTCTTCTCTCTTGTGAGCGCCTATACCTGTGACTACCATATCTACTGGGAGATGGACTCCTACCTCTCCGTGATTGGCTTCTTGTTATTCCCGAGCGTGAACTACTTTTACTGCGTGATCTATTTGGACTATGATTAAAATGAACATTAAAAATGAGAAAAGAACAGAAAGACGCAGAGACAATGCATTCAAACACGTACAAAAATTATACCTGGAATTGCCACGAGCCATGTTTTTTGTTTGATGGAATTGGTTCACAACTTGAAAAGAAATTATATATCAACTCCTCTCACTAAGTTGTTCTGGTACAAGAGGCAATGGCATATTTATAAGTGTTCTTTTTCATGGTACTCTGTAAAAGTGTGGATGAATGGTCAGAGTATGCTTGGAAAATGTACACAATCTCTTTCTGGATACGTTCACGTGAAATAGTGTCATTCCATGTACTTTGTATTGTAATTCTAAAATTGAAAAAAACCAGAGGAGCAGTTTCTTTCTCTGTTTACATATGTTATTATATATAGTAATTTGTCGGTCAAATTTGTTCAGCTTTAAGTATTCATTTTTCGTAGACATTAGTGGGAAAATGGAACAATCTTGGAAGAGACCTTCACACGTTGGTCTTCTTTTACGTGTTTTTTAAATGGTTGGTTCAAAGGTTTGCTTCATAGAAATGTATTATGAGGCTATATTTAAATTAATTATTTTACCTGTACCTGCCGAAATCAATGGAAAAATTTCATTCAATAATAATAATAATAATAATAATAATAATAATAATAATAATAATCTTCTCTTAAGTGTATTAATAAATATTATTTATTTTTTAAAATAATGTTAATAAGAGATTTATTAAATTATGACATGTCTTTCTAAAATATCATATATTAACTTAAGCATTAAATTGTCTTTGTAAATAAATCTTCTTATTTTCTCCAACCATTAAAGCTTGGATCTAATCAGCATAGTTTTAACTAGACTAAATTGTTCATGATCAAGATTGACTAGTTCATAATACCTTTAATATTTTTGTTATATTTTTTTTGGCATAAACATTTGACGCTCATTATGGGATTAAGGCATAATTTTGCTTCACTTGTATCCTTGAGTTCTCGATTGTGGGGTTTATGTTCTAGTATACTCATGAGTCTCAAATCGTTTAAGAGTCGATGTCAAAAGTAGTTTATACCCCCTCCTTTCTTAACTATTGATATGTCTTTTAACGATCAAATCGTGAGGATTAAAACTTCAAAATAGACAATACCTTGAACATAAGAATTGACCCTAATGAAGCTTGTCATACTCATTATTTAAACTCTAAACTAAAAAATTCATTGAAATAATGAAACTCACTATACTCATTATTTTAGTTTTGAAAAAAATTAGTGAAGCTCACCATACATATTTTAGCTTCGAGCTAAGTCATAGTTATTATCTAACCTATAACTAAGAATGAATTGAGGTAATGAAGCTCCCTACCCCATGAAAAACAATTTATCATGGTAAGTTGATATTCACACTCATATATCAAGTGAAAATATCATAACAGAAATGTGGTCGTAGCAAAAATAGTGTCAAAGTTATATAAAGATTTAATCATCCACAAGTTGACCATCTACTACTATTTTCTTTAGGTAAAAAAGGTTAATATTTATGCACGGACTAATTATAATGGCTTGCTCAACGACCTTATTAAAACCATCCCACTAGTTACATCTCAACAACTTGTAGCTTGATAGTTTTCTGATTCAAAGATGTTTGAAGCTTGATTCAGTTATTTTCAGCAACATAATAGCTAAAAATTCTCACTAATGCATGTCAAAAGTCATATTAAGAAGGTGAAAAGACCAAGTCCAAGAACTTGTTAGCTGATTCAATTTATATGTAAAAGTTTGACTCTTCATGATTTAGTCTTTTAGAATTCTCAGTAAACAACAACATACAAGAACTTCACTTAAAGATTAAACTCCTCATATTTAGCACTATTACAAAATATATTTTCCACATCGTCATTTAACGTCGGTTAAAGCTGAGGTAACGTTGAATACAATTTCGATGTCGGTTGGTTAAAAAGCGACGTTGAATGTGTCAATAAAAAGACTTTCCACGCCGGTTCGTGGAAAATCGAAAGTCTTTTTATTGACACATTCAACGTTGACTATGATTGTAACCGATGTAGAAAGTATTTTTTTTTTCAACCAAAAATTCACTTAAGTTAGAAATTTGTCACTAACGAGATTCGAACTTAGTATCTTGAAGTTGGAAGCTAATACTCTAGCTACTAAACTACTAGAATTTTCTAATAATAACTTACAAATAAATTATATTTATATACAAATAAATATATATCCGTGTAAATATATAAATAGAAAATATATAAATACAAATATATTTATATATTTTGATATATTTATATATTTATATAGTTATATATTTATATATTTATATGTTGGATGTGAGGGTGCGCTCGAGGGTGAAAGTGAGATTGACTCTCGCTTGAGCGAAAATATGTTAACGCTCATGGAAATTCACTCGCTCAAGCGAAAATATTTCGCTTGAGCTAAAATTGGTATTTTTGGTTTGAGCGAATGTGTCGCTTGAGTGAATGATGCGTTTCCCAAATTTATTTTATATCATTATATAAATAAATTATAAAGATTATATTATGTCATTAAATTACAAAATCATATAAAGAGACTCACTGATGTGAACATGACCTATGATAAGGGCTAGAATAAGGGAAACAAAGGAAGCTCTTCAACAAGTATTGTTGGTTGACCAAATTGTGTTTTTGATTAATCAATTAATGGACTTTAGTTTGGTTTTATTGCAAGTTGTAATAAGGGTCCAATTCAAAATTTAGTTATCAGTCTTTGGGAGATCAAGAAGGTGTATAGCTGATTGACTTTTGGATGCCACAATTTCAGTTACAATCAATCATTAAGTAGTTTTCAATTCCTAGGTTAATGAATCATTATTAGCATTTATTTTTCTTTATTAAATCTTTGTAATTGTGATGACAAAACTTCTATATAGGATGAACCATTTTTATCAAAAATAATAATTAAAATTTTATTCGAACTATTAAAATTTATCTCTTTTATCTTAGTGAGAGTGATTCTCCTAAATTCTTGAGTGATTCAAGAACCCTTGGCTGTATCAAAGGATTTTCATATCCTTTGTGAGTTGCCTTCCTTGAAAGAGTGATTCTTTCCTTCCACCTTATCACTAAATTCCTAAATTTCTTATAAGGTTCTAACCCTAAAGATCCTAAATCACCCCTTGTGATTCATATCACCCGCTCACAAATTTGGCATCAAATTTTGAAAACTCACTCGACATACACTTTCACCTTCGAGCATGCCCTCACATCTAACATATAAATATATCAAATATACAAATATATTTGTATTTATATATTTACACAGTATATATATTTATTTATATAAAAATATAATTTATTTGTAAGTTATTATTAGAAAATTCTAGTAGTTTAGTGGTTGGAGTATTAGCCTCCAACTCTAAGGTATACTCGGGTTTGATTCCTACCAGTGATAATTCTCTTAAAAAATTAATTTTGGTAGTGATTCAAATTTCTAAAAATAATAATACAAATGACTAACTATGCATGAACATTGCAATGAATATATTTTTTAACATTAATAAAAAATAATCACTTTTTTAAGAAGTATTAAAAAAACTTTCATTTTGTACAGCTTCACTTAATAAATATATTTCTCATGTATATATATTTTTTAAAATTTTTGTTTTTAATGTCTGAGAGGATTAGTGTATTTAACAAGCTAGAAGTAACGTAAACGTTATGTCGTTTACCCAATCAAACCATTATTAACATAAAAAACATGTAATAAGAGGAATATATTCTGGAGTATAAATCCAATTTGAAAACAACACATTAACTTATTAAAAACTTTATTTCACTCCTCTAAGAATACATATTGCGTCATTATATAAGAACCAAACACTCCTTAAACTATAATAAACACAAGAAATTTGACAATTAGCTAGAAAAATTTGCTACAAAATTTATTTTTTACTAATTTGTAGCTAATTAACGATAGAATAGTAAATGAATAAGGTTGTAACTAATCAGTAGCAAAATAGCTAGAAGATTAATACTTGTGTAGTTATTCCTTCACTTAGCAGAAAAATAATTTAACTAGGACAAATTTTGTCACTAATCTCTTGCTATAAATATTAGCTATGTTATTTTCTGAAGTTATTTCCTAGCTACATTATGTAGCACACAATGATAGCTAAAAACTATTTACAAAAAATACTTGTAAATTTCTCTAAAAATATATAATTATAAAAAATAATTTTGATCTTTTTTAAAAAATATCAACAAAAATTAATTGTAATTTTTTCTTAAAAATATTATTTAAAAATTATTTTTACCAAATTTACTCTAAATATATTAATATATATATATATATATATATATATATATATATATATATAATTATTTTTGTTGAACATATAAGGACTTGATGTTGAACTTACATGGACATGAAGCTTGTTGATTTTGATGATGATGCAAGAACAAAGAACTTAGAGAGTTGAAGACTTGTTTTATTGTGTAATAACTCGTTTTGATGAGTTTGAGTTTGTAATATTAGAGTCTAAGATAGCCGGTACATAATCTACTCTTTAGAAGTTTCAAAAACTCATATTTATCAAAAAGGCTCAGGTTTAATCGATTAAATCACCAAATAATCGATTATTACAGTGAGAAAAACCATTTTCTGTATCTATTCACTGTAATAATCGATTAACACACTTGTTAATCGATTAACAGGCCTGTTAATCGATTAACAAGGCTTTTAATCGATTAAAACAGAGAGTTACATGTTTACAGGGGTTCTGTTGATTTTGGCTCTGTAATAATCGATTAACACTTCATTTAATCGATTATTTCAGTCAGATTTTGATTTTCAACTTCAAATTAAACCTATTTTCGAAAACCCTAATCCCAATACTCCACGTTCCGAAAATCCCAATTCCCAAACCCTAATTTCTCTACTTAAGGTTCTCTAAGGCTCTCAGAAAAAAAAAAAAACATTTTTCAAACAAAAGTTAAGTGTTGTGAGTGTCAGAGAACTGTTTGTTGGAGGAAAAAGAGGCTTTTGGAACCTGGTGTGGGCTAGAAGCGATAAGAATCACTAAGTGGAGTTCTTAGTGGATTGTGTGCTGTGCCGTCTCTAGGGAAA